CCCCCCCCCCCCCCCCCCACCGCCCAACGATATAGATAGTGCTCCCAGTTTGGTCTATACAAGGTTTCCTCTGCACTCACAGATCCTCAGAGCTAGTCATCCATGGGCTTGTCCTCTAGAGTGACTCTGTTGGGTTCACTTTCGGCGATACTGCTTCGGTTGCTGTCCGTGCCACTGGCCCCGACAGCTGAGCCAGTGGCGAAGCTTGACAAGCTACCCAGGCCTGACTTGCGGTTGGATCGAGCGACAGAAGAGCGGGACATGGAATTACGCTTATCGAACTCGGCAGATGCTACAGCCGGGGTAGGAGTAGGAGTTGGAGAGTCATCGGAGGCTGTTTCGGGAAGAGAAACAGGAGGGGGGCTAGGGGAGCTCGAGCGGGCACTGGTGCTGGCAGCAGCCGAGATAGGCGACTCAATGTACGTGCCGTTGGTAACAGTCTCGGTTATTTGAGTGTTCACGACAGGAGCATCCTCAGATCCGGCCTGGGGAGCCTTGTTGGCAGGTACATCTAGACTGCCGCGGGTGGATCTGCGATCCGAAGGACTGTTGACATTGATCGGGAAACGGCCGTTCTCCGAAGCGCCGCTCGAGCGGTCGCGTCGATGCCGTTGGCGATTGGCGGGACTGGTGGCCCGGCTGCGGTTGACAATGGCTCGCTGACGGGCCTCCATCGCCGCACGACGGTTACTCTCGTCCGTGCTGATGGCGCGTGGACGGTTGGAGCCGGAGTTGGTGATTCCGAGTGCACTCGATTGGCGCTTCAGTTCGCCAAAGATGGAATCCTTGTAAGCAAATAGATCGCGGATTAGGCGATAGCTGTGACGCTCGTTCATCGTCAGGCTGCTCTCAATGCGAGGGCGGAGAATGCAAGGGGAAAATGCCTGTGCCAACGAATTAATGTATTCTTCGTCAGCCGAGGTCAAATCAATCAAGCGCGTGAAGTGAGTCATAATGGCATCAAGCGTAGCGATATTGACGAGGCGAAGTTGTCCAAGAGTACTTTGCAGAACCTTGATCCGTCCTTCTTCCGTGGTCTCATGAGCGGTGGTGGAATAGATCGTCTTCACGATTTCGTATACTTGTGAGGAAACCAGTGAGTCTATCTTGGGATTAGTATAACCCTATTTGAAGGCACCGGAGTGAGCGACAAACCTGGCAACTCAAGAAGGTACAATCTTAGAACGCTTGCAATAACTGGGATTTCGAACTGAGGCAACACCTCGGCATAATCAGCCTTGCTGTTGTTCAAAACTTGACGAAGCTTATGTGTCGTGCTTAGATCAACCTCAGTTAGCCAGATCATTCGCCGTATTTCATCGCCTTCAAGTTCAGGGTAGCCTGTAGGATTTGTGAGCACCGATTCATGAAACTGGACATATTCCAAGAATTTCTTACGATTGTCTAGGTAAGTCAAAATGGTGGTCACCAGGATCGGAACCCGTTTGCGGTCGGCACGAGCTCGAGCTTCAAGGTCGACGCCAAAGTTTTGTTCTGGTGGGAAAAGAAATTAGCAACGGGTTTGTCTCTGGGCATTAACCACGGCTGTACCTTCAACGGAACCATAGTAGTTCTCGTATGCTTGGATCTTAGGGACGAATCCACCAGTGCGGTAGTTCTCCAGCATATATCTCAAGTCGCCGAGGGGCTGAATTGTCTCCTGGTACAGCATCATATTATCCACTGTGCTCTGCAGGTTTGGAATGACATTGCTGATTGCGCCCGAGAAGTCGAGAACCACGGCTTTGATGGCCTTGAGGCGGTCCAGCTCGCACTGCTCCATGTATTTGAGCTGGCCAATGACTTCTTCCTCCAGCCGGCAGCGGATCTGGTCAAGTTTACGAACGGCAACCTTGTATCGTTCATCGGCTTCCGAAGCCTCCCTCCGGAGCTTCTCCGAAGGTGTCTCGTTCGGATGAGGGTTGTTGAGAGGATTCCAGCCAGATAGAATCTCAGAGACAGACGCAATGGGCGAGTCGCTATTGTTGCCGTCCTCGCTTGATGCGGCCGAGGTGACACGCATAAGAGCCTTCTTTTTTTCTGGGATACCGGTGAGTTGGAAAACTTTGGGACGCCACTGATAGTTCATCTTGGAGCTATTGGCAAACACACTGCCCATATTTCCAACCAAGCGAAGAATACCGTTGTCTACCATATCTTGGCCAATTATCTCCACCTGGGCAAGATTATCGGCCTCCATGTAGGTTTGGATATATTGCGCAATATCCGCGCCGGTGGATACATTCAAATAGGTGCCGATAATGGGAACCTTCGCCTCGCCAAGCTTGATGTTATCAAGCATATGGGAGAGGAGCTTTTTGAGATGGTCCGGCGGGTATATCCGCTCGCCTAACTCGATGGGGTCTTCCTCGGGCTTTTCCTCGGTAGGGAGAATGATCTTTGGGGGAGCTTTGATCTTGGGGCTCGACTCAGGGTCTTGGAAAGCAAGCTTGTTCTCTTCTTCCAGATCCTCAACGACACGACACTTGTTGAAGTAAGTACTGCGCAACTTCCTTACCAACTCCGCTTGCTTGGTGTGTTCCTTGATGCGGGACTGGAGGAGGTCATGCGAATACTGAACACGCATGTCGTGCTGCTCGCCCCAACGTCGGAAGGGAGATACGACCAATTCACGGATATTGTTGGCGATCTTCTGGTGGTTCTTGGATGCCTCGACCATCTCCGTGCGGATTCCTTCGTATGCCTAGAACAAGATTCGCACGACGTCAGTCTTTCTTCACTCTCTGGTCCATTCCACGCGTGTGAAACAAACCTTTCTGACACTGGCACCATCGTCCTTGCCGAAACCTGTCGCCGTCATCTTATCCACGCTCGGGGCAATGTCCCCCATGCGGAGTCCATACTGCTCTTCTGCGTCTGCACGCATGGACGCAATGGCCAGAATCTGTTTGTTCTCCACAATTCCCTGCTGCAGTTTCCCATACAATACCCCCAAGCCCGAAGCATAGTCGGGGGTCCAGAAAGAGTCCGCAAAACCAGGCATTGTGGCGGCTAAAAGGCTGACTGAGGCCGTCAAATGGAGACACGTTGTGATATGCGGAAGAAGGGAGAGTGATGCGGCAGGTGACACCGGTGAACACGTATGTTCAGAGGAAAATTCAAATCGTTAAAAGGCGGAGAAAGCGCGAATTTTAAAGTCAATCGGAGCGAGTTGACGTTGGGCGGCCACTTGGGCTCTGGGTTTGCGATATGACCAAGAGCACCGAGAAAAGACCAGCTGTCTAGGTAATCAATTCAAAATCCAGTCTGGACACTGGATGGGACTGCGCATAGATCGAGACACCTATGACGAGGGAGGGAAGATCACTTTGGAATGCGAGCCAAGTGAGTGCGCAGGGTGTCAAGCGCCGGGTCGTAGAAAAATTCGAGGCTAAAATGAGTGAAAGCCAGGCCAAGCAAAGTTGCGATGCAAGTAGGCAGAAAGCTGGCAACAAAAACAAAGAAACACAGAAATGAGAAAGGTCAAGATGGAGATGGAGTCGATGAAGTTCATGGATTTCCAGATCGTAGGGCGTCATGTGGCTCGTAATATTACGGAAATACGGGGGATTCGTGTACGGAGTACGGAGCACATCTGAGACCAATACAGCCCAGCAAAAGTCCTTTGGGTTACCCTTGTCCCCACCGTCTTCAAACCCACTTGGGCTATTTTTGGTATTGAAAATTACACCGGGGTGGTAATTGGCTGCAAATCTTTAAATTTGGGGGGGTTTTTTTCAGGCGATGCAGAAAAAAAAAAGGGGGCTGGTCCACGGGCGTGTGGCTTGTCTCTGGGTTTGTTTACAAATGAGTTGCATTGACATCAAACGTGGCTGTGAGCCTTGTCTGAGGGTGATGGTGTACATTCAATCATTATATGTTACAGGAGATAGTGCAATAGCAAAACAATATATATGTGACACCCTACCCCCCTAAGTCATTGATCATGCCTGACTCCCTGGGTCAAACACTCCTCCGTCTGTATTTTTGTGCCAAGGCTGGAGGCTCGAGAGGATGATCTACAATAATTCAGTGTGTTGCAGGTTATTCAAAGGAGTGTATGTCCATCTTTTAAAATGTAGGAACGGTTTGTATGGAATTCATGGAAAAATTATGGTATCGTGGTTATCTTTGAACAAGCTTTGAAGGTGAGATGGCCTTCATACATCAAGATGTACACAAGGGGGATGCAGTTTAGAGCCAAAAAAATCGAAGAAAAAAATTCGTTTAACAGAAGAAATTGTAAACCTTCTTCCACTTCGGCCATTGTTTTTGCTCGGCCCGCTCCTGCTCAATCAAATGCTGGACATCAAGGTCGCGACGACCGGTAGCCAAATCGGCCTCGGAGGGGAGAATAAACTTGGTCCTATACACAATCTTATAACCGACGTAGGATACCAGAACCACGGGGGCGGCCAAGTAGACAGAGAAGAAGTTGTAGGCAATCTGCTGGGAGGTCATGTCTGCGTAACCAATGGGGGCGAAACCAACCCAGAACTGCGCAATCAGCACGAGACAGTTGAAAATAAGACCGACCCACGAGCCAATGATGCCGGGCTGAGAACGGAAGGCCAACTCGTCCAGGCTGTGGCCCTGTACCTTCCACGCGCGACGAAAGAGGATGTGGGCACCGCACACAGAACCCCAGGTGAAGACAGACGATAGACCCGAGATGGCCATCATCCAGGCGAAGGCAGTAGTCTGCACATCTGAGGCAGCGAGGTAGCAAAGCAGACCCAAGGCAGATGCAACCAGAATGGCGGGTAGAGGACGACCCTGGCGATCGATGTATGCGAGGAACTTGGGGGCTTGACCCTGGTCGGCAAGGGCAGCAAGAGTACGCGAAGATCCGTAGACGGAGGAGTTGCCAACAGACAGGACAGCAATCAAGATGACAACGTTCATGATCGAAGGCAGGACTTTGATTCCGGCATTCTCAATGGCAATGACGAAAGGAGAGGCCTTGGCATCGGCGGAGGAGGTACCACTGATGAGTTTGGGGTCGTCGTATCTTACGAGGAGGCCGACGATAGCAAGGGAAACGACGTAGAAGAGAGCAATACGCCAGAAGACCTGCTTAACGGCAGTCGGAAGGGATTTGCGGGGATTTGTGGTTTCAGCTGCGGCGAGACCAACAAGTTCGGTTCCAGAAAAAGCAAACGCAGCGTTGACGAAAACACTGCAGAGACCCTTGAAACCGTTTCTGAATGCACCAGGGTCATGCCAGTACTTGCCGCCGATATATCCACCTTCGGGACCACCGCCGCAGTTGAGGATAATCCCAAGGATGCTAACATCCAAGTCAGTTGGACTTTCAAGTTGTAGCAAACAGTAGCATAACTTACATGAAACCAATAACGGCAATAACCTTGATGATGGAGAACACAAACTCAGCCTCACCATATCCTCGCACACCAAACATGTTGATTGAGACAATCAGAACCCAGAAGATGGTTACCCAGGCAGCATTGGAAACACCTGGGCTCCAATAATCAACTGTGATCGAAGCAGCGACGACCTCCAAGGGTAGGACAATGAGCCACTGAAGAGCGTAGTTCCAGCCCATAGCAAACCCCCACGCAGGATCCACGAAACGAGTCGAGTAATGAGCGAAAGAACCGGCAACTGGGAAGAGAACTGCCATTTCACCCAAGGCGTGAACTGTGCAGTAAAGCATGCAGCCAATCAGAACATAGGCAATCAAAACTGAGGCTGGACCGCCGGCGGCCAAAACAGATCCGGAACCAACGAAGAGACCAGTACCTAGATGGTAAATGGAATTAGCAGGGTTGAACAAGAGAAGAACTGGTGGAGAACGTACCAATAGAACCACCAATCGCAATCATCTGGAGATGACGCCCCTTCAAGTGACGCTTGAGGGGGGAGTTGGCAGTGTTGTGGGCGGCATTTTCGAGATCGAAGCCAGCGCCATCAGCTCCAGAATGGCCGGAGACAGTTTGGTTGGGGTCTCTCTTGAAACTGTCGATTATCCGTTGGCCCATGCCTCCCCGCGTTGGAGATGAGTCGCCATAGGCTGGAGGACCGTCCAAGGCAGTCTGGACGGTGCTCTCTTCGACCTTCTTCTCCTCCATGGTGCGTGTGTAGAAAGGTGTCTCTTTCAAGAAGCGTAGACGAAAGTACTGATTTGATCGATCTGTGGATTTCAGAGGTCTATGAACCAACACTCGGGGGTGAAACAAAGGTTAGTTCGACGGTTTAGGAGGGGGCGAGGGTTTAAATACAACCAGTCCAATGTCAGAAAAAAAAGGGATATAATCATTTTTTACGTTCCAGGTAATCAAATTAAAACCAAAGCACCGACATCTATCTGCTTTCATGCGCTTAGACTAACTAGAGTTTCGCACTAATAGCAGTTCAGACTCCAATCTTCTGTTAGTCTTGGCAGGCTCTGGGCAATGCTTGAGCCCGAGAGTTGGCCAAATCGTCTTCCTTTTTTTTTGAATCTGATTTATTTATGATGCGTGTACTCTGTATCTGTAAATATGTGAAAGTGGTATTCGAGGTTGTGAGTTACATTTGATCATGGTGCATAGTCGCGGCCGCAAACGGCCATGTCCCCAGAGCTTTTAGTGGGAGATAAGCCCTTGAAGCTTGGAACATGGAATTTCAACTATTTTGTTTAAAACTAAAAAAGGTAAAATTGAAAAAGGAATTGCGAGTTAAGGATGTGCCAGGGTGGAACCCTGTCTGTTAGACGCCACCTGAGCTTTACTTATCTGTGTTGTATCTCTCGCGTGATTGAGCCTGTCACAACGGGAGAATCTCACCTCAGGTGGATGTTCCCTTCACCCAGTTCCCGAGCTTGACTATTTCCACGACCTAGCTGACTCGTATTGCATAAACATGCTGACAACTGAACGACTTTGTCGGGCATGATCTTCCTTGTCTAGGGTGAAATTGAGAGAAAAAAAAAAAACTAAGCTTCTGGAGCCCAAAGACGGCAAATCCCCAGATCCACTAACCCCATCTGTCGCTCTCCGCACTCTACCCGTGCGCGATAGTCGATCATTACCCAATCAGTGAACCTCGGGAGATAAGAGCACACAACCCTTCCCAGGCTTCCTCCGCGCCTCCATCTGGACCACACGTCCACGGGTGTTTCCTAATCTTTCTTCTAGAATCCGATATCTAACAGAGCTGACATTGTGAGTTTGGATAATGTATCCTTAAAAGCATACTAACATTGCTCTGCAACATCCCAATGTACTGTCCATTGGATGGAAGGGGATGATCCTTTTCGTCCCCCCCCCTTGCCTATGGGAAGGCTTCCCGACGGACCCCGTTCTTGTGGGATGCGCTAGGGGCCAAAGAGATGTGTGTGCAATACCGTACGGCTGGAGAAATTCGCCCCACTGAGGCTTGTCCGCAACCTTTCACCATTGAGTTTCTCTGGCCGTCACCTCGGTACGGAGTATAGTCTCTTGGTATGGGTGATGGGAAAGGAAAATCGAGAGCTGTGTCCTCCGTACAGTCCAACAAGAAACACCTCGGTTGGGTTCTCCGCTACCACCTGACATGAGCTTCAGTAGTCCACTTGGAAAAGGGATGGCGCCATGAAACTCTATGATTAGGCGTTTTTGAGGCGAGAGTTTTACCTGCATGGCCCGTGGCGGTCTGCCACCAATATGCATGGAAGCACGGGAGAAGCACACCAGAAAGCCAAAAGGGTGTGCTGGGGAGATATCATCATGTGGTATTCTGAATCCATTGGAGATTTGTGTAATGATTAGCCTGGTATCGGTATATTTAGCAAGACTGTTTTTTTTTTCACAGGGCAAACATATCAATCAGCAAACTCTGGTAAGTCCAAGATTAAACCCTCGCATCCTGGGGTCTGCCAATAGATTTTCGTGGATCAGTGGCTCGATTCGGGCATCCCCGTCAAAGGAAAGACTAAACACATTTGTTGACTCACGAACGTTGAGATCTCAAGATGTTCGTAATCGTGTGACATCTCAGCTCGAATGAGGGAAGCCCTTTGGGGCAAAATCAAAATGTGAAAACGGGCCCACAACTCTTATCTTTCGTGTCAGCACTGCGGGTCAAGCACATCACCAGTCCGCATTCCACAATGTGAGACTTGGACCCATGCAACCTGGCCAGGTTATGGGCAGGCGAGAAAAAAGAAGACGCAAGGTTTTCGGCCTCGAGCTGAGTTGGACTGATGCTTGACTATCAGCCACTTAAGCCTTCCCCAGCTGGTGGCGCGCAGTGGCCAATTTTACTGGCCACGCTCCCGCAACAGATAGCGACGGTAACATCGGGCTGGGTTGGCATTTGTGTTTCGGTGACTACGTCCAAGCCGGACTGATTGTATTTCTGAGGCGATGCTAGCGGCGTCCGGATAATCGGACGTTAGGGCAATATGGCTACCTATAAAGACAGGTGACCATGTGAAATATCTCGTTTAGATCTGTAGCACCAATTTAGCTTTTCTGCGGACACACCCGTGGACCCTTTCAAGGTTATTTGTGTTCCAAGATTGAGTGTCAGAAGCTCCCGGGTAATACCCCGCAAAAATGTGGTCTGTACGTTGTTCGGAGTACTCCGTACTTCGTAGCATTATTTTGCTCTGGAGGTTACCCAAGTCGACAAAAATGGAGGTCCCCGGAAATGAGCACAGCCCGGGTCAAATAGCAAGCGACACGCATCAATATTCTCTCACCACTACGGAGTGGTCCGGCTACGCCAGATTGATGTACAAAATGCTAGTTACATGTTCGAGTATTCCTCAGCAAGTTAATGTTTCCGGCAGCCAAGTCGGAGCTCCCCTTTAAGGTGCCTGAGGCACTTGGTATTCCATGGTTTGTTTCACTCCAAGACTCGGCTTAGAAAAACCCCCCCCCAATGAAGAAAACCAGAATTAATCTGTCCAAGTAATCAGGCCCCAGTGTGAATATGGAGTCGATATAAGCTACTTGTGAAATGTGGGGGTGACAATCTGTTAGGTAACAGTTTCCACATAGTCTACTTTGGAGTCTGGGGAAAGACGGCACAAAGAAATACCGATATTTTCAATGGGAAAATCGGATTAGTGAAAGTGTATACCCAAGTAATATCCATAATTATCTGCAGATAGATCGATCGTCCTGCATCTGCAGCCCATCCCTGGAAACCCGTGTGCACCGCAACCCCCTTTCCCGTCCCTGGCCAAGGCTAGGCGGCTTATTTTGCTTTAAATTTGTCACTGAAAGATCTGCAATATGCATGTTACCATGAGCTAGGGATGAGCTCTCGGGGGCTAGTTCTATAGCATATCGCTAGTATTGGGCGGGTCTATGTCCCGATCTACAGAGTAGGTAGGGGTTAAATATAAAACAAGGCACCCTCAAAGATTATCCCATCCTAGTCAGCGATTGATGTTCTCGTTAAGGTTCGCCACCATCAACAAATCCCACTAAAAGGTAGTCGACTGACTACAATCTGGAAATTTAACACGCTGAATTTGGGGTAGTCACGGCGATTTGGAGTTCGCCTGTCTACATCGCACATCATGATATTCATGGTGAAGAATTCTCCGATCAGCATGCGGCAGCGACCTCTGCTTATATCGATGGATAGGCTCTAGACATGGCTAGTTACCGGCTGTTAATTGTAAATAGCGACCGGCAACCGGGGTTAGCCGTTGATAGTCTGATTTCAGGTGGTGGAGACAACTTGTGGTTGGAGAGCTTACTTTGGACGCCTGGTTACCTGCAGGCCTTTGGTGGGCTAGTAGTCCCTGCATGATTTACCTCGCACATAATCGGCGGCTGCAGCTGCTCCCTTTCGGCTGACTGAATTGTGGTTAGCCATAACTGCGATGAATATCCGGTCAGGAGAACAACATATTCTCTTACGTTTTGTTGGCAATAGCTTCTTCTTGATCTTACTTCAATGCTGAGATACGCGCTACCCGAGACACGGGATAAAGTGAGAGAAACCAATAGCACGCTTTGCCATGGCGGTTCATTCATTCAACGATTTTAACTCTATTTCGTTGCATTCGGTATCATTAATACACAAAGTTTTATTTTCATCAGGGCAGTAACTGGTTATCCCAAGCTCATGAGCTTGCTACTGGGCCTTCACCACCAGGAATCAACTGGTCGGAAAGTTAATCAAACGCCTAGTTGGCCTCAAGGTAAGATTATCTTACCATGCAGATATTGTTTCCATTCAACAAGAGCTTAGGGAGCTTGATTTGGGCACCGGTGTAGTCGCTGGGAGGAAGTTAGTCTAGGACACAAGCACCTCGACGGATATTTGCAAATTCAGAGAAAGATTAATGAGCCCTGCTCAGGGGCTTAGGAGCCAAGGCAGCCAAACACGGCCACGGAAGGAAAAAGGGTAGCTCGAAGCTAGAACATAAATCAAGCACGTACAATTCTGTCACGTCTTCCATAACCATGTCTAATTCGAATTTAGTGCCTGGTGAGGTCGTCACTTCTTGCACAGGGATACTTACTGACGTAGTCATCGAATCCGAGCAAGGTCCCAGAGAACTCTTCATAAGCATTAGTACGTTGCTTTAGTTTCATTATCAAACATCGAACTTTAGCTTACCTTTGTCACCCTTCATAACAACCCAAATTCGGGAGCCAACACATTTATCAATGAGCTCTATCAAACGAGTTAGCGGGGTCATGGCTTTCTTGTGCTATTGGGCACGGACCAAGAGGAAGCAACTGAGAAGCCATGATGTTGAGAGACACAAAAAAATCTTCGCTGAAGTGATTTTTCCTTGGGAAGCGTCTTGATTTGAAAACGAAGGTGATCGAGCTTTCCGCGCGGGCAAGAATATAGAAAAGGACGTGATCGTTTGTCGCTCGGCACTTCTAATGATCCGGCCCGAGAAACTAAGCCAAATAAGGTTTAAGGGCAACTCTGAAAGTTGCGCTTGGAGCTCCGCAACATGGGGTGATATCTTAACACTGAATTGATTGTCTGCTTGCAATTTTGTTGGTTGCCAAAAGACAAAGCTACCACTTATTGTCCGCCAAGCCGATCACATTCAATTGCTTCGTGGGGCTCCAGGTGGCCCACTATGCTTGTCACACATTATGCCAATGCGGCCGAATCTTTTAGCAAGTCGGAAGACCCCATCTTCGATTGCAAAAAATAGCGGTTACTTCGATAGGTCCAAACCCCATGGGCCACTGCGACGGGGAATTTTCTGGCAGTGCCGGTAAGCATGACTTATGTGCCCAGCTTCAAAGGCTATTTTATTAACTGAACTACAGTGGCCTCGACACTTGCACACCAAGGCTCCGACATGTTTTGCCGAACACCAGCTTAACGTATATCCCGCTCGTGACCTCTCAATCAAAGCGCAACTTTTTCAATACCACTCGCAGAGAAGGCATATGGGATGATGACGATGAAGTCCCGGAGCCAAAACCTGTGCAACGACTCCCAGGGCGGCCAGCCTTTGTGCGCCCTACCCGACATCGAGACTTGGGCAGCTTGGTTAGATCAAGAGTAGATGGGAAAATCCGAGTCTCTCAACGTCTTCACATTGAGAAGGGGTTTAATTCGCTGCCTCCAGCTCAAGAACTTGTCAAGAGTTTTATCCAATTGAAGTACAAACATGTTGATGACCTTCTCGATGAATCCTTCAAGGCAAGCCTAGCCTATGAGGCCGAATGTGGAGCTTTCTCTTCAATTTTTCGAAAGCGAATCAACGGTGTGGTGTCACAGATCTCGAAAAAAGTGCTCCATGCCGAAAAGACCACCCAAGAGTGTGTGACTGAATTGGAGAAACTGTCAAACTTCATCACCGTGCACATTGTAACTATGGTCTCAGAAAACACGAAAAAAGTTCTACAAGCAGAGAAGATTACTCAAAATTATATCACTGAAGTGGTAAATCTGTCATCTTCTATCTTGCGATTGGACCAAATACAGGCTGCTGTCAGGACAGCAGAGAAAACCAGTCGAAAGATTGATCATGATTTCTGCTCCGTTGCTTTTAGTAGAACTCCAGAATGGGAGAGAAGGCTGGAAATATCCACCCAGAAGATCCACGGTTGGCAGAAATGTCTTCACACGGCTCAAAAAACACTCCTGCCACATCTGGTCAACCTTTCTGAGCTTTCTATCTTTCGACTGAGAGACACTCTCAACAATGATTACCTACGACCCCGGAATACTGCAAGAGCCCGAATTGATAAAGTTCTTCATCAAAGTAAACTGATTCAGAAGAACTACGTTGAGCTGAAACTGAAAAGCCGCAACGCAGGAGTTTTTCACATCAGAGACCTTTGCTTGGAGCTCCAAGAGCACTCGAACTTTCCCCCAGGTGACAAGCAAGTGTTTGGCCAGTACAAAGATATTCTCGAACTTAGTGACCGTGAGATTAGTACTTGTGCACACCATCACCGTGCATTCTGGCTCAGAAGGCAAGAGGCTTTGCATCCACTTCGACAAAGTGAATTATGGAATATGCAGGATTTCATGGCGGCAGCCTCGTCTGCACGTTCTCCCCAAGCTACTGGCAAGCGAATCTTACTCGCGCTTGCACTGGGTGCCCGAAAAAACTCACCGGCAAGTCAATACTTGCAAAATAATCCCCTCATAATATCCAACAAAATCTATCTCGAGTACAAACATCTTTGGATGCGAAAGCCCGCCCGCAGCCCTGAGTTACATATATACTGGCGACAGTTGGATGCAATTGCGCCACTACTCATGACTGATGTTCTCACGTGGGGGCTTCAAAATGAAGTTTGGTACCTCCATCACAGCCTCAAAGGTGATCTCGGGGTATTGTGGAATTGGGTACCTGAGCAGACTGTGACGCATGCTCTTCCAAAAATAGCCGACTGGTGCATTGAATTCCAGAAACATCGCAGTGCTCTTCGACAAATGACCTCCGAATACAAACATTTAAACTGGCTGCGTCTTCGATCAGAAACCTTACTATACTCAATGGGAGACCGTGCCTACCTTGCTGGAAAGTTTGAAGTCCTCAATCCAATGAGCCAGGATGTCCACAGATTCAGAACATGGGCCGCTTGCATGGGCCAGCTCACTTCTGACGCCTACATCCCCGTGATCGCCACCCGGCAGACGCGAAAGGATTGGGAGTGTATCCACCACGAGGTTGAGCGCAGAACTGGGCGGGCTGCTTCCGTAAACTCCCCCTTTTCAGAACTGGGTTCTTCGACGAAGAAGCTCAAGCGTGCGAAGGGAAGAGAAGAATCTGCATCTTTCAATGCAAAGGCCGCTTTTATCAAATTGTTTCAAAGCCGTCTTTCAAGATACATGAAGGGGAAATTGTCAGGACTTTCCGAGTCTTCGCCTGCCAGCCAGGACAATCAAGAGCCCGGTCAAGCTGTGATACCCATGAAAGGTTCCTTGGGAAGGATAAGGCAGCAACTGAAGAGCAAAACTGGGCTACAGCGTGCAGCTGAGTTGACTGCTAATCAAGGTAGTCAAGACGGCAGTCGCCTCAGACCCAGACTATCAGCTGGTCCTTCGACAGTAAAAACCGAGGAGCGCACAACAGAGGGCGATCTTGTATCCAAACAACATGTCCCAGTCAATGCGCCTATCGACCAGAATAATCAGGAGGCCAGTGGCGTCATCTACGAGCCATCACTCACACTCCAGAAAAGAACATCTAGAAGCCTCGCCGCGCCTGAGCTCAACCCGTTCCTAGTCTATGCGCCTGCTGGCCAGACAAACCAGGACGGGGACCAGAAGCTTCATAGGCCACCAACAGTACTCCCGAGGAGCAAAGAGGTGAGCCTCAGCCCGGAGCCTTGTATGGATGACCTCCGTTCACCAATTCCAAGAGAAGCCAGCAGTACGTTCCCAAGCACACAGACACACAACGGACTACGACCGGCATTGATGCTGCCGAGGAAGCCATTCGCTAAACCAGGACAAAACCATGGGAGAAAGTATAGTACGGATGCAATCTTCAACCAAGCAAAATTTCCACAAAGCAACAGTGTCAGTGATGATTCCCCGTCTGAACGGCCAATCGAAACCCAAATATCCTCGGTTCCAGATACTACGACCGGACATAAGCCAGGATTCTTTGAAGAAACTGACTCCGCGGACCAATCAATCCCATCATCAACACCTCAGTTTTGGAGCCACAGTGCACAACAAAGCCCCGATGGCCAGAAACTCATCGTGCATTATTGCCGGACCCTTCAAAGTACCGAAGAAGCTGTTCAACACTTTCTCGGGAGCAAGGTCATTGGATTCGACATGGAATGGAAGGCTCAAGCCTCCGGCTGGGACAGTATTCAGAGCAATGTCTCAGTGATCCAAATCGCAAACGAGGAGCGTATCGCCCTCTTCCAGATCGCGCTCTTCAAGCCCGCACGCTCTCTGGAGGACTTGGTTTCCCCATCATTGAAGCGCCTTGTAGAATCTCCCGATATCATGAAAGTGGGAGTTTCAATAAAGGCAGACTGCACGCGGCTGCGCAAGTATCTCGGCATCGACGCTAAAGCCACTTTCGAGCTTAGCCATTTGTACAAGTTGATCAAGTACGGCAAAGACAATCCCAAATTGGTGAATAAGAGGGGCGTTAATCTCAGCGAGCAAATCAAAGAGCATTTCGGTCTTCCTCTTGAGAAAAGTGATGATGTCCGCTGTGGTGATTGGACCCGGGCTTTGAGTTATCGTCAGGTACAATGTAAGTACTTAGAGACCTGTGCGTTCTATCTCCTGATATGCTAATCTTTCGATTTTTGTCTAGATGCTGCTACCGATCCCTATGCTTGTGTTCGTCTGTTCCATACCATGGAGGCGAAAAGAAAAGCCATGGACCCAATGCCGCCTTGTCCTGCGTTCGCTGAACTCAACCAGCCCATTGTTCTCCCACTTGGACAAGCAGTCAACAGCGACGAGGACCCGTTGGTCTGACCATGTAGATATGCATGCATGTAATCAAATTTGGCTTCCCTTTGATACCCTACTCTTTTTTGTTTTGCAAAGCTTTCGGAGCAAATGTTTGTACACTTCTGATGAAAGAAACTCTTAGCTTTGTTTCCTTTTTTTTCCCTTTGTTGTGTATTTTTTGTCTTGCATTCTCAAATGGCGTGCATGTGGATTCGATTTAATACCTGCATTTTACACTAAACCGGGAAATGTACGTTAGTCGGTTGACGTACGGCAAGATTCAATTGAACATTACAGTCCATGAAAATCATGGTCGAATGAAATCAAAGAAAGGGGGGTATATTTGTCCAAAACAAGCGTATAAACTTGTGTCGGCCGCGCCAATCTCTTCAGCAATATACGCGAAGATCAGGAAAGCACTAGCCTAGAATTCACATCGCATCAATTCACCACACAGCTACCCTCTTAGAGGTAGCACCTTAGACAGTAAGACCTCCTGTCGGCAGAGCGGGCACTCGGGCTTTTCACGAACCCAGTCCCGAACACAAATCCAGCAGAACACATGTCCACAAGTCGTAACACTAGGATCCTTGAACATTTCCAGACAAAGGGTACATTTCCGCTGCTGCCCTTCGGGCATCCATGAGACAGCGCCAGGATCATCCTCGAGATCATAAAGTGGTACAGACGCAGGAAGAAGAGGAATAGTAGACGGGGTTTGAATCGAAGCGAGAACAGCCCCATCCTGCCCTGGAGACTGGCCAGCGTCCGCAGAGTGACTCTCATCTTCATTCAAGCTCGCGCCGAGTTTGCGAGCATGCAGGAACCCCTGCACGGCAATTTGGAGAACAAGCAACACACCCAGGACCTCATATCCAATGCGTTGCTCATTGTCATCGATCTTCTTAGTGAAAACGTAACGCAGACGCCAAAGCCGCTTGGAGAGATGGTAATAAGAGCCTGTGAAATAGAAGGTCGCAATGCTCAGCGCATAAATTGGCGACAGGGATGTGATGGAATCCAAGTGTTCAAGGAGATACTGCTGGATGCGCAGTTTCGTAAACAACGGCCGTTTAGTCGGGGTAGTTGAGAATTGGGGCTTGTGGAGCAGGCCAGCTTGCTTCGCCGCTCGTAACTGTATGCGGGCAATGTTGCGCTCGAGCTTGTTGCGGAACTTTTGTCGCAGCGTGGGCAGTAGTCGCTGCAGTGTCCACGGTACCAGGATGCTACTTAGGATGTACCCCACGCGACGGCCGATTGACGGCAATTGAAGTGTGTCATCTTCTAGTTGAATAAGGTCGCAGTATTCTTCACCTAGGGTGCGGTTGCCGATGGCGGTTGTTAGGGTGAAGTAGAGGAGTTCGGTGAGGTGCTTGATGGCGTCGGAGTGGGTGTGGGCGTATCGGGCGCCCCGAAGAGCTCGGACGATCCCTTGTGATTGTTGAATCAAGCTGCCTGTGAGGTATGCATCCTTCTCATGTGAGCGAATGATGTCTGGTGAGGTTGCGAAGGGGTAGAAGTGTGAGATGAATGAGCTGGGGGGTGAGTTTGAGGTTGGTAGAGCGATATGGGAGTCGTCCGCCATGATAGATTGCAGGGTGTCAATTTAGGGAAAGTAAGCTTAAGTGTGACGGTGAATAGTATTTTGATAACTTAAAGTATTCCCAAAGACGAGTCCCAGGCGAGTCGCGGGCGAGTCACAGGCTCAATTCCCCAGCTTTCGTACCTAGAGATATCAAATTCCCCGGAGTTGTCCTCGGATGTCATGCCTCGGTACAGAAGCTTCATCATGTGACTCTGATGGATCACGTGTGATCAATCAGATTAGTTAATTACCACAATACGCCTGTTGTTACCCAAAAAAAAATACCATCTTTACGAATTTACCATACGCCGCAAACGTCCCACTTGTTCTCCGTACGTAGTACTTCAAAGGTACCTGGGCCTATTGCAGATGAATGCGGGAGGCTTGCAGTGGCTGAATGTACCTGAGTTGGTGCCCCCTTTTTGTGCAGAAAGGGGGGTTTGCACGTTCGTGGTCCATAACTTTCTCGTCGTTTATCAATTTTGGACTGCAGGATGATGCCATGATGCCATGCATACGTGGTTAAGCTTGGACGACGTAACTAGTTGGGTTTGATCTTCAATCTTTTTCCTGAGCTGTGCTTAGATGTGCTTCTAGTTCTAGTTATACCCAATTCGTCGCTGTGTGGGGTTCCAGACAATCGGCAGACTGTGACTAGTCCAGGGTATTTCTCTCTCCAGCTCCGCTCCGCTTATTAAAGTGCTCCGGCTTCAAAATTGGGAAAAGTCTCAACTTCCGGAATTTCAAAGACGTCGCCCCTAGCCTTTGCCTTTTTTTTGGGATTTCAATATCCGAGGGGTCTTTGTGGTTTCTTTAGCCTTGTGGTTTTCCCGGTGACCTCCTCCTTCCCATTGATCAATGGAATAATGGCAGTTGATCAACATGCTCAATTGGATGCCTTTGGGCTGATCTTCCCATTGCCGCTACGTATAGCTGCCATCTTGGTCGCTGGTAGGTGACATTCCTGTCCGAAGGGGGTTGAATCCCAACTAGGCGTGTGTTAACACAAGGGGCTAGGTTTTTGGGGATGGGGTATCAACCTTCAATATCTGGCCAAAGCCAACATTGTAAGTGGCGCCCGTCACCTAGCTATAGTTACTTGCAACGGCTAATCGGATTTCATATACTTCTAGGACGTTCCGGCGCTCATCAAATATCCTGCCCGCACATCCTCCTCGCAACGCCCACATCATATCGCCGTCTATCGCCTGGCCACATGTTTCACCATCCCACTTGCTCTGTGGCTCATTGTCTTTTGGCTAACCACCCGCCGGTCCGCTGAATTGGTGGAGCAACTGGACTGGATCCCACAGTCGGTGTTCATTATTCTTCTCCTCATTCTGATCTGGCCTTTCAACCGCGCCTCCCGTTCCGGTCGAATCCGATTTCTCCTTACTCTCAAGCGGATCAGCATCGGTGGTCTGGCCGAGTCTCAAGATGGCAAGTTTGGGGACATCTTGCTGGCAGATGCTCTCACTAGCTATGCTCGCGTGATCGGAGATCTGTATATCAGTTTCTGCATGTTCTTCACCGATGGCTTCGCCGCTACGTCCAAGCCAAACCGGGCCTGTGGAAGTGAAACGGTTGTTCCGATCATTCTCGCTTTTCCCAGTTTGATTCGGCTTCGTCAGTGTTTGACTGAATACGTTCGTGCGCGACGCACAGTCACGCGGAGAGAGACGCACAAGGTAAACCAGCACTTGGCCAATGCCCTTAAGTATGCAACTGCGTTCCCTGTCATATGGATCGCCTCCAAAATGCGCAACTACAGTCCTTTGGAGCTACGTGGATATAGCGAGGTTAGCATGATGCGCCTTCTGTAAGATTCAGGTCCTCAAATGTTGTGTCCAAGCCTTTCTCTAACACCCCACAGATTTATTGTCTCTTTCATCAACTCCGCCTACTCTTTCTGGTGGGATGTTGTTAAAGATTGGGATATGACTCTCTTTTCCCCCGAACGTCACGACAGCGCTCACCCATACGGACTCCGCCGGCATCGCTGCTTCGCATCCGATAAGATGTACCACTACGTTATCATCGCAGATCTGGTCCTTCGTTTCTCATGGCTATGGCGGATTCTCCCAGGCCTTGGCTGGATTTCGGAAACAGAGAGCGGATTCTGGTTGCTCATGTTCCTCGAAGTTGTACGACGTTGGATGTGGATATTCTTCCGGACTGAAGCTGAATGGAGTATGTCTTCCCTTTGTGCACTTGCAATTCACCCTAGTCCCAACTGTGTGACCCATGCCCCTCTATCCTGGGTTTTAGACAATTTCACTCATGCTTTTGTGTACTAGTTCGAAATACCCATGGCCCAGGCCCAGATGACGTTCTCCTCGGCGAATTCAACCACAAGTTTGACGCGGACTAACCTATTCCCTTTGTCTTTGATCACTTCCAGCGACTTGGAACGAGAATGTGACACAGAAAAAACACTCCCTCTTAACCCAACCCTACGGTTGAGTGTTCGGGCATCTTTTGCTCTCCCTAACAAAACTTCGGATGTCCCTACCCAATCCAAAGCTAGAGCAGCGATAGATGAGGCTTGAGCTTTGACTCTGGCTCTTTTTTTTGTTTTTCTGGCGTGTGTGGAACCAACCCATCCCACGCCCTTGTACGCCTATTGTCCTCTTTTGGGGGCTCGATTCAGCTATTTGTGTGTGACCTGATGCACCATGATTTCCTAGATTCCTTGGACTGGTATCTCTGAGCCTGCTGGAAGCAAGACTCTGATTTTCTCCGAATTTCTGTTTACTCTTCACTGTACCTATACTTACCTAGGGTTGGCCTGGTCTGACATCTCCAACTACCCTGCCTTTGTTTCCCTTTTTACATATACCATTTTTCTCCTTTTGGATCGCAATGCTGGTCTTTTCTTCCTTCTCCTTCCTTTCCTCTCGGCGTTTGGCTGTTAAGAAATCTAACTGGCGTTCGTGACTTGTGTTAATGGTGATTCACAAACCTAATGATTGAAGACTTGAATTCGGTTTCTAAACCGACAATAAGATTTTGTCAGACGATGCCAAGTAGGGTTTGATGCCAGCAGAAAGTTGAACAACCAGAATTCCGTTGCATACTCTTGCGAGCTTCCCGGAGTTCATGGGCTTATTTAGAACTCACTACCGGATTGCTAGGTATGTGTGCAACGGGTATAGTTGATGTTACAATCCCACTGGTTTGAAGCCAAGGGATAAGCTACGAGGGTAGGTCTGAAGAAAATCGTCCATTGACTTCTAAAAAAAATAAAAAAAAATAACATGACAAAGACAGATTCATTGACTTCGTGCAAATTTTCTCCCTACACCCGGTGAGACAGTAGAAATAGAAACACAACCACAGATAAATGTTGTGACAAATATCCAGGCGGACCAGCCAAACAGGCTGCTGACCTGTTCATGCTTCTCCTTCGCTGCCATCTCCTGCCCTTTTTCTTCCACGACCATTCATGAAATTTAGGTTCTCTTCACTTCACCTCATGTCACTCATGTCACACATGCTTCCTAGACATTTGAATATGTTCACAGTGGAACACCATCCACAGATTGCCGTGCCCCTTATTTTTCATATAACCTCATACTAGTGCGAGGGGGCCTGATATGGACCCCCGAAGAAGCAGATGAGGGCTGGGATTGTACATCAATCCTTCAAAGGTCCTTCTTGGCGATGTGGGCCTTAGGAAGGGAACCAGCGCGATCGATGGCGCTCTGGCGAGCTCCAGCAAGACCGTACTGAGTGGGGAGTCCTTCAATTCGGTGAGTAGAGTTGATATTCTTAACAAGGGTGAGCTGCCAGCAGGTGGCACCACCCTGGCGGGAAGTGATTGTGGCTGAAGCAAGGAAGTACTCCCAGATCTAAAAAAAGTAGTGATTAGCAAGAAAGCGAATCGACCTCCGGAAGACCAAGGACACGGAGAGAAAAAAAAACTTACGCGGAACCAGCGCTTTCCGTACTTGGCCTCGACCTTGTCGCGGTTGCCCATCCAGTTCCGGTACCAACGCCAGAGGGTAGCTGAGTAGTGCACACCGATGGTGTCAACACACTTGACCTCAAAGCCAGCGCCCTCGAGACGGTCCACAACGAAACCGAGGGGAGTGCTGGCGTCAGCACCGGGAAAAACGTATTTGTTCATGAAAAGGCCCCAGATCAGGTCCTCATATTGCCAGGACTTGCGGAGACCAGCGATCTGCAGGAAGAATGTACCATTGTCCTCAAGCATGTCGTAAACCTGAGCCAAGAAAGTAGACAGGTGGCGGACACCAACGTGCTCAGCCATCTCGAGGCAAGTGATGTGTTGGTATCCACCCTCAACACGAGGAGCATCGCGGTAGTCACTGCACAGAATACGACTCTGTTCCTCCTCAATACCAGCCTTGCGAAGGCCATTGTTACCCCACGCCGTTTGGTTGCGGCCAAGAGTGATACCGGTAACGTGAGCTCCGTAGTGGACCGAGGCGTATTTAGCAAGAGTTCCCCAGCCACAGCCAAGATCAAGGATCTTGTCACCGGGCTTAACACCAATCTTCTCACATACAATGGCCAGCTTGTTGTCCTGAAGCTCCTCGAGGGTCTCCTCCTTGTTTATATCACTGATGACACCAGAGGTATAGATCATGCGTGGGCCAAGGAACCAAGCGTAGAAGTCGTCACCTCGGTCGTAGTGATCACGGACTTGCTCCTCATCTAGAATTCGTGTTAGAATTGCCACCGAAGCTGCATCAAGACTTACTTACCCTGAGAGCGAGTGTGCATCAGCATCTCGGGGATGAAACCAAAAAGGAAGTGCTTGAAGAGACTAGAGGTGAACTTGAAGTTGGCCCAATCGTGACGGTACTCGAGACATTCCAGAGCATCGCCCTTGAAGTCAACCTCGCCATTAAAGTACTTCTCGTAGAAAACCGCCATGGGGATCTTCCTCTTGCCATGGTAGGTAGCACGATCGTACTCGCTGTGGAACTGCAGGTAGTGCTCGACGGGACGGCCACAGTACTTGGCCTTCTCGGTCTTGCGAGGAGAAACAGAGGAAGAGACAGCCCAGAATGCCACCAGGACGGGGACGGAGGTGAAGAGAGCAAAGAAAATTGTGGTGTAGAATCCTCCACCAACCTGGCGAGCCAGCCACCAGGGCACAATGATCTCCAGAGCGATCATCAAGCCATTGGAGAAACTGTCGCTGCCTGGCGAGTCAGCGGGGACTGGAGCATTCTTAATAGTCGGGTACTGGATAGTGAAAGAAGCAAATTAGGACCTTGAATAATCAAATATTCCTCATGGATAGCTCTGACCGTGCACTTACGAGGGTAGTCGGCACACCACAGTCGAAGGCAGGCTTGGTCTGCTCGGGGGCAGCCGGAGTCTGGATGTATTCGAACTCCTCGGTGGAGTCCGGATGAATGGTCGTCATGGCGGCGAAGCGTCAATTGGGAGGAATAGGAAGGGAAAAGGAGAAGCCAGAAAGTAAACAAGAAGACATGAGCAATTCCGGGGCGGTGAAGGCTAGGCCAAGGTACCTGGGAAGGTACGTGATTGGTATCTGCCGTTCCATGGGCGGGCTGAGGATTTGGTATCTGCCAGGTTGTACTCCGTGCTCCATGCTACGTACACCGAGTTTACTCTACTTCGTTCGATTTCGCACTGACATGCGTTGTCAACTAAATCCCTAAGCCCTTAGTTTTGTTACGAGGATTAGCTAGTGGCTGGTGAACTGGTATCCATAAATTTTTTTGTGAACAACTTTATGCATCACCTGACACCCATTAGCATTGGATGACCGAGGTTTCACAAATCCCAAGAACCTGGAACTGCCTACGTGGTCCTCTGACGGAAATAATGCAAAGTGCGACCTCGCCTGTCTGTCGCTTGGCAAAGGATCAACATGAAAGTGGAGTATGCCTGAAACAGTATGATCCGCGGTTGACCTCGGACGGGCTACAACCTATCCAGTTACAAGTACCCCGTACTCCGTACATGAAAATGGTATTCCATAACGCCAGGATCCTTCAGCTTGTAACTCCTATGATGTCAATCTCAATATGCCAAATCAATAACCATACTGAAGTAAGATTGTGATGTCCTTTCGATAATGAGTATCGTTCGCAAGGTACCCCCTACAGAGTGAGCTGGAAGCTCTGAGCCTCATCGTCTTCATCAAATGTGGGCAGTGGCTCTTCTGGTTCCTGAGTGGTCTCGTCCGGGGTATCAAAGCATCCAGCAGCTTTGCAACGAGTCCACATTTCCGAGTCCAGCGGAGGGGGCCCATAAAGCTGGATATAAGTTTCGGGTGACAGGATCTGAGAGCTTGGCAGCTTCTGCGTTTGTGGATGTTTCTCCCGTAGGGTGGATGAAACACTGCGTCCTTTGGAGTAGCCAACGGTTGTCCGTGAATTTATAGAAGCAGCAGTGTTGCGCATGGAAGAGGGGTTAGACGGGACCCTGGCGTGCCTCTTGGGCATAACCAGTGACGATGCCAACAACGCAACCCGTGGTTTCGGAGTTTGAGCCACTTGAGGTGTAGAAGTTGGTCCGGGTCCAGCAAGCGCAGCAGCTGCATCACGAGCTAAAAGCGTCGACACACTGCGAGTGTGCCTTTTGGTGGTAGGCCTTTCTGAGGGGATGGCATTTGGCTGAGGTGCTTTTGTGGACTCGCTTTCACCAGAGCTCTCAAACCCAATATCCTCAAGTTGTTTCATGATCAAATCATCCACCATCTTGTCGCACGCCGCCGAATCCTCCTTAAACTTACGCTGCTTTGCTGTGAGTCCATCCCTGCCAACTTGTTGCTTTCCGTAAACACTCTCCAAACCTAGAGCTCGATTCTTAGGACGGAATTGGGGGAATGTGGTGTCATAGGTCACATCGTCTGGAAGGTCTGGAAGATCTGTACCTCATTGGAAATAAGCCTTTGGGGTTGCAGCTTTAGTTTGTTCTTAGCGTACCTCTAGGCTTCGGCGGCATGTATTCAATCTCCGGTACGTCGTCCGCAGAAGTGTCTATGTGGACTTGGGTTTGAGCTTGCTGTGCCACTGGAGCAGCTTTTCGGATCTTCTGGGCAGTCGACTGTCTGCGATTTGTCTTCGCTTGCTTGGTGATTCCACCGAAGGGCGCAGGCGTCTGAAGATTATTCGCTTTGAGGTTGGTGGTTTTCATACCCAAAGGAGCGCGATCCTTCACTATAAGCGAGAAAAGAAGAGTTAGTCAAAATCAAACAGTCATTTCCAAGTCTCTAATTTTTGCAAAGCACGCGTACCCATCGGAGTCATAAACGCGTTGCCTGCCTTTCCATTCTCCTGACGCTTGCCATTGCCCTTCACGGTGCGATTTCCGAATGCCAACGGGTTATTCTCGTCATTTCGTGGCTTGCCTGGTGTCTTGGGTGCTAGCTGCTTGCTTTGGTTCAAGGGCTTTGCTGCCGCGGCGGTTTGGTGGGAGTTTACCAGGTTTTCTTGGTCGCGAAGAGCCAACATGGTGGCGAACTAAAGCTGGTGATTATCATGCACCGTATCAAATAAATCAAAGTCGCGTTGGCAATCCGGTCAACGGTGGTAAAAAGCCAGAACGAGTTCTAGACACAGGTGTTGTCTAGCGGTTGCCCGTGGAGACGCGGCGATCCCTGGGCGGTGATTGGCGTAGAGCAGGGGCGGATTGTGTACCTAACCATACCACGGTTACGCAGTTGGTACACAGTAAGTATACGGTACTTCCCCTGTAGTGGAGCTCGTGCTTGTTCTGCTAGTACTGTCTACTTATTTACGAGTCAGCCATTATTCCCCCCCTTCTCTCCCAAAACTCTCCCTATATCATCTTCCACACTCCATCCAACATTCGCCCGGTTTCTCGCTGAGCGAAAGCCCAACTACTTTTTCTTTCAACCATACATATTATCTCCCTTACTTCCTTTTCAATAACCTTTAAAATGGACAAGATCAAGGAGGTAAGTCACCAAGACCCCTGCCGGCGGGGTAGCTCGATTGCTTCCCAAAATCACACAGCCCCTCGTCATATGCATATATGCATACCACCCCAACATTCCATCGCTTTCCCACTGGGAATTTTGCTAATACGTTTGTAATTATTTCAGCGCATGGTCGCCCTCCGTGCGGAGGCTGATGAGGCTCACGAGCTCATCGATGAGCTCAAGGCCAAGGTCAAGACCTTGGAACAAGAGAACTTGTCTAAGGAACAAGAGATCACATCGCTCAACCACCGCAACCAGCTTCTAGAGGAGGATGTTGAGAAGGCAGAGACCGCCCTCAAGGAGGCTAAGGATGCTGCCAGCCAGAGCCTCCAGCATGACACTCAAAACGAGGCCCTGCAGCGACGGGTGCAGCTCCTTGAGGAGGAGGCCGAGGAGAATGACAAGACCTTGCGGGAAACAAACGAGAAGTACGACTAGCTACCAGTTCTTTCACGGTTGGGTACTAACATTTTGGACACTCAGACTCCGCCAAACCGATATCAAGGCTGGTCACTACGAGCGGAAGGTGCAGGCTCTCGAGGAGCAACACGCCAAGCTGGAGCAAAGATATGAGGATGCGATCAAGGAGCACAGCACTGTGAAGAAGGAGCTTGACGATCTTGCATCCCAGATGGCCGATATCTAAACTGGCCCAAACCAGCGATCGGTGCAAGATATCGGGACACATTTGGTTGACTACAAGCTCCATTCTCTAGGTTGTCTGCTTTTTCATGCTGTGACTGTTTGTGTTACGATGGTCCCAACTATAAGGGCTTGATAAAGCGCTTTTGAGAGCAACAACTTTTTTATCATGTAACATGTACTACAGTGTGTACCATTTCCTGCATCTTCTTTTAATATCATAAACATGAAACGCCTGTGATCCGTAAAATAGACTATCGAATGATTGCTTTAAGCCGAGTATATGCACAAGTGATGTCGTATCTCTTTGAAGATATGGTCTCCTCATTCCTCTGCCCCCTTTCGCGCCTTCGCTTTCTTTGCTTTCACAGACCGTTGCTTTAACATTGTTTGCCTGCGCTCAACCTTGGTCTCGTAGCGGAAGTTCCTCTTCTTCTTCCTGGCTGCTTCTGAGGCTGCACTCCGGGGCTTTCTCTTCTTAGCCTTTGTGTCGGCCTCCGACTCGACCGGATATTTTTTCTCTTCCTCATTCTCTGAGTCCTCCCCCTTGGCAGCCTTGAGCAGACCCTCACGGGATGCATCCATTTCTTCAACCGTGACTGTTGTGTATTTGTCCTCATCGATGTACTCGGCTTCGTAGTCCACCGCTGGAGGCTCTTCAATTCCCTCCCAATCTTCCTCCTCTTTCTCGCCTTCCATTTCGCCGAGATCCCCGGCGTCCTCCTTCATGCGCTTGAGTACTGCTTTATGCTCCGCCATTGCCTGTTCGAAGTCTTTCTTGCGATCCTCTCGAATCTAGAAAAATCAGTGAAAGTCTTTGCGCACAAATTGAAGCCTGCCGAACCTTTTTTCGTGCTTCTCTCTTCTCCTCTTTGTATCTCTTGGCAGCATTTTCTTGCGCATGCTTAGCGCGTTGCACCTTGCGTTTGTGAAACCCAGTCAACCATTCCTGTCGGGACTCGCTGTCGAAATTGACCTCCTCAACTTTAGGCCCGGCAACAATTTTGCGCTTTTTCAAATCCTTGGGGCCCATGATGAATGAAAAATCACAATCCTATAATAAATTGGAAACAAAGAATAAAGAACCCGTTGAATATCGTAGGTTGTGTTGAAACTGCATCCAAGGCCAAAAAAAAGTTGCTATGGAAAGCTCACGCGGGTCGGGGCTTTCGACCGCCTCCGAGACCCAAGTCGGACACCTTCCGTTGCCAACATCATCACCAACCTGACCACATCCCCACGCCAAGCACAATGCATCTCAGCAGGTTTGGGCTATTGACCATTGGCGCTGCTGCTGTAAATGCTTTCAGAGATACTTCGCCATTCTTCCTCGCCTCAACTTCTGAGTATGCTTGATTCAAACTCTCCACCTGTGGTTAACTAACCGCTCCTCCCTTAGGATCCTGACGAACTCCGCCTACATTCAGACTGGAACTTCCCTCCTCGAAAACCTTTCCTCATCTCTCAGTACCTGTCCGTCAGATTACTATGTTGTCGTGTACCAGCCTGGCGTGCACAGTTCCGACTTCTCTACGCGCAAGTCAGCACCCCGCTTGGGTGCGAAGATGCTCGGGAAGGACAGCTCGATCCGGTCCAAAATGAGCATTAACGAGGTCGTTGGCATGGTTGAACCAAAGGATATCAAAACCCTTTTGAAGACGAAGTGCAAGACCCAGACTACCGCCGTCGACGCTTCGTGTAAGTTGCTTCGATGGCCAACGACAGCCTTAGCTAACCCGCGGAGAACGTCAGAGCTAACATTGTGCAGCTGGATCGTACCCCTCCTCCTTTGAGAAGGGCCCTCGGATTATTGATGTTGAATTTCCCATGCTTTCCCTGGACTCGGATCGCGCGCAGCAACTTTCTGGATTCGGTACGCAGGCAACCGACCTTTGCACTTCATTTTTACTAACCCAGCTAGATGGTTTCCTTGCCGATGTCATTGAGCGACTTCCTTCCTCATCCAAGTACACTATTATCTACATAACCTCGCCGAGAGAGTTCCCCGAAACGGATTCCGTTATCTACGACGCCTCTGGGGATTCGTACCAAGATTCACTCCACATGGAGCTAAGGCGCGACTACTCCGCGCATGGCAGCGCCTCGGACTCGTCAGGCAATTCCACCTCTCTCTTTGAAGAGTATCAATACTTTACTCCAGGTATACATCTACCAATATCACATTTTCTCTAATCACTACTCACCCTTTTCCAGGTATTTTCATGGGACTTATGGCTACCTTCCTGTTCCTCGCGATTTTGTATATTGGCATCAGTGCCCTAAGCAGCCTCGAAATTCCCTATGCTGCATTTGAGAAGGACACTTCAGCTGCTGTGCAAAAGAAAGCACAGTGAATTATAGCGCTTTGTTGGATTATGAATTTGGAATACACCTCCATCGCTGCAATTGATTTTCTTTTTTTGTCGAGGGTTCAGGGACAATTTGTCTCGTATTTCCATGTATGATAACTCATATTCTCCCAGTCTTCTAATGTAAGATTTGCCAACGTAAATGTGCAAGTCCTTGTATCTTTTTTTGGGGGCTGTCAGGTGACGGTCTCAGTTTGCCTAAGGCACCCATCTTCTTTAGCTTTGGCGTTTTTCAGTTTCTTCCAATTCTCGGTTAAGGAGTCACTGTCTTTTGGTCGTCTTAAGACACCCGTTGGCCTCATTTGAACAACAGTCATTCGTTTATGAGAGATTTTCCCAGGGCCTCATCAAGATTCGATGATTATGGATCCGTGGCCTGCAGCTTGAAGTATCCGCCAATCTTTCACAAGAGACAAATTGCAGTTATTTTGGAAATCAGCAAGGACCTTAGCCTTGATACCCAGATTTCATTGATGAACTGACAAGAATTGAGAATCCTCTTTGTTCCTCGCTGTCGTTGGGATCGGCGCTTACTCCAAGTGACCCGCACTTTGTGGAGAAGCAGCTGATCGATTGTTAACGCCGCCATGCGAGTTCTGCCGCAAGGGCTTGGGAAAGCCAAGCCATCATTCCTCCTACTGCTGTTTCTTGTCATCGCTATCGCTGCTCAAGTATTTGCTGTGCCGGCGGACACAGCACTAACGGATACCGATGCCGCTAAGACCACCGACGATCCCTCCACCACCTCTGGCGTGAGGGAGACCACCACTTCATCAACCACTTCCAAATCGACGTCAAGTTCTACCACCAGTACCTTCTCCTCATCTTCCTCCTCTTCTTCTACAAGCACAACCATGGATACAACCACTTCCTCCTCTTCCTCATCCACGATGTCTGGCGGCAGCACAACAACATCATCCGTCTCCACGACAACGAAATCATCAACATCCTCCTCCACCACAGCCAACGGCGCTATCGTGACAATTCCACCAATAGCCAACGCCCCATATATGCAAGAGAGCAATGCTCCAGAAGGCACGGTGTTCATCGCGGTCGGCGCGGCGCTAGGGCTGATCGGCCTAACTCTGCTCGCATGGCGCGCAATGGTCGCGTGGTCCGTAAACCGATCAGTGCGACGCGCCGCCATAATTCACGCCTCAGAATCCAAGCGCCTCCTACGTGGCAGCAGAAAGAAGCGATCGGCTCCCTACTCCGCCGCCCCGACGGTCGACGTTTCCCTCGACAAACTCGCCGCTGCCACTCGCGCAAGCTACAAGCCCAAACGGGTCCCGAGCACGAGCAGTGGTCTTTTCTTTTCGCCTACTGCAGGTGGTCCTACTGGACCGCACCACAATCGGAACGCTACAGGAAGTACGGGAAATCGCGGCTCAACATACCTACCTGCTGGATACTACGCTGCTGCCGGTGGCTCCAACCCCGCGCCAAGTGGAGAACCTCCATACTCGCCCACCGCTGGCCTCTCGTCGCCTCACCTGTCTCCTGCTGGTGTCTACCATGATTCGCGTAATCAGCGCCACTCTTATGCGGGTGGTGCCTCAACGAGTTCCTTAAACCTGAACCAGGCGCCGCAGGGTCGTGCCCCTAGCGCGTACCTTGAGGATTTGTTTGAGAGCCATGCTCCTCACAGCTCTGATTCTGGTCCTCGGTAGCGCCCCTGACTTCGGGCTCTTGGCTAGTCATCACATGAAGGAATGATGTTGGCGAGCTGTTTTTGTTTGATCTATATTGAGATTTCTTCCCCTTTTTCTTCGCTTTCTGCTTTACATCTATTCTCTTGTCCATTTTCATCCCGGGTCTGTTATAACTCTGCGCTCCATACACCCTTTCACATGTGGTGATCTGCTACTCTCTTTTTCTCCGCTTATTATTAACTACAAGTCCCTTGTCACTACAAGTCAGTTCACTCATAAAGAAATTCCACCATGGATACCTACAACCCTACTGGTCTTGTGCTGTTCTTGGAGTCAATATCTATTGCGCTAAATGTAGTGAACGATTGATCAAAACTTGTGTTCCATTGAGATGTTAAATCGGGAAATATCGCTAAGCCCAACTGAAAAGGGCGAAAATGGTTAACGAAAAAAAATGGCAAAAGAAGTCACTAAGCCGATTTGATCGACAAAACACACGCGCTGAAACCAAGGACATGTGCTTGAACCGCGGGACGTGGGTATGGGGTTATCTACGGATTGAAAAGAAAGCGAACTAGCCAACGCGCTTGTACAGCTTGGCCTTGGAGCCAGCAGACGAAGCTCCAGCACAACAGGCAGCAGGCAGCTCCTCGGGATGGAGTGAAGATTTGTTGAACATTTGGGAGGATTGTGGAACGTCAAGAGCAGGGTTTTTATTGAAGAAGCCATCGGGCTTCAGCATGATGCTGATGCGCTCCATTGGCATCACGGGGAAGTCCTCAATGCGGGGATTGTGGGTAAGACCGAATGCTGCAGGAGTTTGTTAGTTATACAATGCAGATAACGTCGCAGGGGGGGGTTGATGCTTGCTGTGCCAAAGGACGACGTCTTCGTTTTCTACGTTGTCCTTACGCCGCACCCAAGTCTCGACTCCCTCGGCGCGGCGGCTTTGGTTCGTGAACTCGCCTGCAGCGTACAGTTCATCGTCCTGGTACTTGGTGACCCAGATCGGCTTTGTGCCAAACTCCGCACGGCGGAAGCCGTGGGCATTCTTGCTGACCAGAAGCATTTGGCTGGGAGCAGCCATCAGCTTGTATGCAATAGGCCTATGGGTGATTGGGTTGGTAATGTTGTCGTTGCGGATTTTGAAGACACGGTGGCGGTCAACGCTGGTGTTCGCTGTGCCTGCCGTGCGCATCACCGTTGACTCAGAGGTATAGCCCACAAGGTAGGGGTTCTTCTCGTCCTCTGGCATAGGGACGCTGTCTTCATAGTAGATGGTGTTCTTGAATCCATCAATAGCAGGGTCAATTCGCAGGGAGAACATATGCTGGTGGAAGGGGGCCATAACACCAGGACCAACGTTAGTACCCCATGGGACGGTTTCACCATTCTCGTTGTCGAACGGGACGGTGGAAAGAATGCCGGTGGCCCGGACTTCTAACTCAACATTGGCGGCTTGATCAAAGATGTAGTTGAAGATATACTCATAGTTGGCCACAGTGCAGATCATCTGCAGAACCAACTGGCGGTTGCGCACCACGGTAGCAGCACCGGACCGGTAGTTAGTGTGCTTGTGCTGCAAACCGTTATCTTGTTCGTGCATGCAAATTACATTCTTCAGCTGCAGTGGGTTTCCTTTGGAGTCGTTGCGGTAACCATCAAAATACTTGATATGGCCGAGACAGTCACATCCAAGAGCCAACTGATTGGCATTCATACCAAAGCCAGTGTCACCAACATCAAACGCCTGCTTGCGGTGGTAGGGGGCTCGAGGATCTAGATTTTTGTTAGTCAGATCTGTTGGGAGTTAAAGATGATGGGGCTCCGATCCCACTTACCTCCATAGGGAACAGTCATCTCAGAAATAGCCAAACGATAAAAGACGTTTCTGTTGTCATATGTAACGTTGTAGATGATCAAGCCTTCGCGAGCGTTGAAACCGACCCTGAAGCGCCACTTCTGCCAGTAGACTGAGTAACCATCCACCGAGAATGAAGGACCCTCGGGCTGTTGTACGATGTAGGGCTTGAGGTCGGTGCGAAGGGGCTCGTTCAAGAGGTCATGCGCGTACTGAACTGTCTTGACAGGCTTCCAAGGCTGGGTAGAGGTAGTCTCAAAATCAGCACCGCCGGGTAGGTAGTCCATACGGATCAACTCATGAGTTAGACCGTCAAATACCGGTGAGAATTTGCAAGGCAGAGAGTAGTGATTGTTCTGGGGGTGATCCACTTCGACCATGTACATGAAGCATTGAAAGAGCCGTCGATCCTCGTTACCACTATCTGTGCCATACATCCAAGGGTCGTTACAGACAGTGATGCCCGCGGGTAGTTGCAATTTCTCGATCTCTGCCAATACCGCAGGGTGCTTCATGCACATCTCTTCGATTCCGGTAATTTCATCGATATCAATGGGACCCTTTGAAGTAGAACCGTTAGTCAAGTCTAGGGCTCGCTTCAGGGAGAGGACTTCACTTGCCTGAACCTCTTTGGGAAGCTCCTTGGCATAGACAATGGTACGCTTGCCGGCATTGAGGATAGCTTTGTAAAATGCGCCGGTGTCCAGGCGGTGGAACAGCACATAGAGAAGACGGGCCGGAGGTGGGGGCAGTGGTCGCCGTAGACGCTCTGCTTCGATATGTGCGATAACATTCTTCTTGATAGGCTCATTGACATCAATACGCTTGTAGCGCAAAGAGACGCCCGGGAAGGTCGCCTCAAGGATGCGCACGGCGAGCTTAATCTCCTCTGGTTTTATTGGATCAAATGGGTGCGGGCCGTAGTTGGTCACCATTTTGGCGTTGTTGGGGTGCACTTCCGAGGTAGAGATATGAGGCTGATGTGAGGTACTAAGGAGGAAATAACGCGAATCCACGGAGAATGGAGAAGAGACAAGTGAAAAAGGCAAGGGAATTATTGAATGAGATGATTGGATCCGATGCCGGCACTTAAATATCTGGTCCCAATGTGGCGGTTCTGGGGCCCCGGGGATCTTATCGGGTTGCACAAGATCGGGATGGACTTGCTTGATTGGGAAAGAACACAGTCGGAGAAGAGTTAGCTCTGAAAGATTAGGGCAAAATGTTTAAAGGCGGGAATACACAATGCGACATCTATAGCAAAATTACCCTCTCAATTTATTTAAATTTTTCTCCGAGAAAGATCTCAAAGACTCAAGGCCCTACACTTGGATGTTCTGTTTTTTTTTCTAGATGCTAGCAAGGAGATCTTTTAGAGTGCGATATCACATGACCTTTGACCCATAGCGTTTCACGTGAGTGTGGGGTCAGTGTGAAATTATCCCAATTTGGCTTAGTGAGCTTTGCTATCTTCCAGAAATCGAGCGGGTTATGACTGCAGCAGCGCATGCTTGACGGAAATTGTTCAATATCTGCGATAAGCATGCCGTTACTAGTACCCGTTAGAGCATCTCCATATCACCCAGGCGCTCCTTGACACTATGAATGGCCTTCTTTTGAATGGCTCAACGCAGTCGTCTTCCTTCACACCTCGCCAGCCCACTTCCGATCCGAAGAAGGGTAGGACACGGCAATCTGGCACGGCATGGACTCGCTCAGGATGTGTCACCTGCAAAAAAAGCGCAAGGCCTGTGATAAGACCAAACCAAGGTGCGTGCTAGAATTTAACTTTGAGTTTCATAATTAATTTGATCAGTTGCAACAATTGTCTCAAGCAAGGTCGGACATGCGAGGGCTATGGCTCTATATGGGTAGAGCCACTAAGTCCATCGGCACAGGTATTCTCGCAGACGGAGACTTCAAAGCGCCGACGGCTCAGTGCATCCTCGCCGTCTCAATTTTCCTCGCCTGCGCCATCTCCGTCCTCGGGTGCATGGGTCAAGACTCGTTCATCTCCCGCGCCAGGGACTTCCCTGGGCTGGTCTGTTCCATCTTCTCCTTGGGAATATGTACCATTTGAGGCGGCTGTCATTCCGTTCCAGGATGTAGAGGAATACAGTCCTGGCCCGGACATTGATTTGCAGAGCTCTGTCGCGATGATCCCACAGCATCTGGGATATACCAGCCATCTCTCAACACATGAGACTCACTACCTCCAGTATCACATGGAGCAGGGATCTCGACTGCTAGCAAATCTAGAGAGCCATGATAATCCCCTTCGGTCGACTCTGATTCCCAGGGCAATGTCATCACCTTTGCTGATGAAGGCCGTATGTGCCATCTCTGCTCTTCATCTAGCAAATCGCTCCCAGGGCTTTGGGGCGCATACTGCTGCAGTTAAATACTATAGTGGAACACTAAACGGACTCCGTACAGCTTTAGACAGATTTTCAGCGGAGTTGTTCCCTGACGATGCCATGCTGGCAGTTGGTCTACTATGCAAATACGAGATCGTGCGTGGTAGTGTTAAGCAATGGGTTGTTCATCTTAATGCATTGCAACGTCTGATCGTTTCCCGCGGTGGCTTTGCTTCAATGGATCGAGATGCAGCCGAGTTCCTGCGTGGACTGTATGTGGACAACCTGCAGCTTACATTACCGGACACTGACATAATCCATCAACATCTAGATTCGTATATGCTCATTACATGGCCCGGATCTGCAATCATAACTGCATCACTTGTATGGATTTTTCTGTCGACAGTGACATCGGTATTCCAAAATTGGACATATACATTGGGTACACGGAGGAAATCCTCAAGTTATGTGCGCGCATCGCAAAGCTGCCTTCCCTCCAAGTCGATACGTTAGCTCTTCGACTCAGCGTTGCATCCATGTTTGTCTCTCTCTGATGCCACAAGATGATCCCTTCAAATGTCCCATACTAACACGCCACCTCAGAAACGAATCCCTCCTCACCTGGTCTCACACCTCAATCCCCTACATAATTCCCCAAGGGACATCACCAGCAACCATAACTCGACTTCAACTCGTAGCTGAATGTTTCCGCGACGCAGGATTTGTCTATCTCCACTCAATCATGGAGCGCATTAGCAGAGTATATCCAGATACTTCTCCCACCGTCGGCCCTGGTACCACTGTCAACACCCAGCTAGAGGAGATCCCATCTCTCTCGGCACTAGACTGGGTTCCCCTCATCTCCACGCCGAAAAGTGTCGCAGTCTACCGCTGTCTTGGCCGCATTGAAACTTTCCCGCTGGGTGACCACTGCGAGTATTCGGCGCTCACGTTCCCGCTCTTTATATCCGGGTGTGAGAGTGATAACGTCTTGGATAGAGAGATTGTACTTCGTTCATTGGGCAAGCTACAGGATAACTTTGGGATTGGGAATGTTAGGCGTGCAAAGGAGTTATTGGGGTTCTTGTGGGCGAGGCAGGATGCTAATTTTGATGCTCAGTGTGTTGGGATGGGTGAGCAGAAAAATGTGCATTGGTTGGACATTGTCGAGGAGCTGGGGTGGGAATTGATTCTTGCTTAGACAGTCCACGGTAGTGGGCTACATTGCAGTCTTCTTGTCTATTATTTGTAGTATCAAAGAGAGAGGCTCTATTTCTGGATGGATGTCACGAGAGTGTGATTGTTGTACACATTGGTGCGTGGTGTTTCCCAAAGTGCTCTGTAAACTTCCATATCATGAATTTTGAATTAGGTGTAGCAAGTGTAGCCGTAGTCTAACCTGAGTGTATCCATACAATATACCTTCCAAGTTGAAAGTTGAGGACAAGTATACGTATGTACCTTTGCAATTTCCGTACAAAAGATACCTGATCTTTGCAAATTACAATGTTTGGTAATGTTCAGCCCCACCCATGGGTCCTGTGAACCCTGTGTGGGCTTGGCACAGTCAAAGCGAACTTGCCGGGCGGATAGCCCCGAAGCACTAAAAACTAATTCCGTAAAGGGCAAATGCCATAAAACGGTCTTGAAAGCTCCTTTCATCCTAGTGCTTTTTAGTCTGCATCTACATTCTCCAAAAATCCGAATCGAAACCCCCTAACTATTTCCTACTTTTTAAGCTTGTTATCTTGCTTGCGTAGACGACAATCCAGCTCATGATCAAGATAGATGCCCTCGCTTGCATAGTCCCCACTATGGCCCAGCAAATCGCCACTGGCGATATACCATTGTGACAGCTTGGGGGGTGATGGCGTGCTAGGTTATCGATATTAACGGCCAATTCCCCAGCCTCTAATTAACTAACAAATCTCCCCAGGCTCTTCTGTGGATTGGGAGGGATACCTTGCTATTCGCGTCAAGATGACAGCTCCAACTGCTCCAGTAGAGAGCATCCCCGCCAAATTCGACGAAAAACCCCCCCATGTCCAATCTACAACAGGCGATGGAGCACTGCAGTTACTGGAAGCCGGTTCGCCGAGCGTCATCGATCCCTTAGCATCTAGGCGACTGTTGCGCAAGATTGATCTGTATATCATGCCACTAATCTGCATCGTATACTTCCTACAATATCTGGATAAGATCGCTATCAGCTATGCCAGCGTCACCGGAATGCGAGAGTCGGCGCACCTTCAAGGCAACCAATTCAACTGGGTGTCGAGTATCTTCTTTTTCGGCCAGCTAGCGTTCGCCTTCCCCACAATGCGCGTGATGCAAGAATTCCCCCTGGCAAAGTACGTCGCCGTTAATGTGACTATCTGGGGCACCATTCTGGCCTGCATGGCCGCATGCAAATCATTTGCCTCCCTGATGGTCTGCCGCACGCTTCTTGGCGCCGCAGAGGCATCTATCGTACCCGCCTGGGTAGTCTTCACGTCGCAATGGTACCGGAAGGATGAACAGGCTTTCCGTGTCGGTCTGTGGTTTTCCATGTGTGGATTCGCGCAGATGTTCGGTGGGTACGTCGCATACGGCGTTGCGACTCACATCGGCGGGGATCCTAGCGCCTCCCTGCGGGGTTGGCAGGTCATTATTCTCATCCTGGGTCTGCTCACCGTGGTGACCGGTATCCTCTTCTTCTTCCTCCTGCCCGATTCCCCTCTCACGGCAGGCTTTTTGTCCTCGGAAGAAAAGGCAATGCACGCGGAGCGTCTTCGGGGTAACGGGCAGGGTATCGGAAGCAACGTCTTTAAGAAAGCCCAGGTTTACGAAGCCCTGACCGACCCGCACACCTGGCTCTACGCCTTCTGGGTCCTGGCGGCAAATGTACCGAACTCTATTGCCACGAGTTTTGGAAATATCATGGTAACGGGCATGGGCTTCTCGAAAACGAAAAGCCTTCTGCTTGTAACCCCCATGGGGGCTTATGAGGTGGTGGCACTGATTGGCCTGACCTATCTGGCAATGAAGACACAGCGACGACTCTTCTGGTGCATCGTGGGTCATATTCTGGCTGTCGTAGGTGCGATTTTGATGGCAGCAACCGACAAGGTGCCGGCCCTCATTGGATACTACCTCACGGGAGGCATTCCACTCGGATGGACAACAATTCTTGGTCTCACTAGTACTAATGTGGCTGGCTCAACCAAAAAGATCACCGTGTCCTGCATCCAGACGATTGCCTACACTGTCGGCAATATTATCTCGCCACAGACCTTTCAAGCCAAAGACGCCCCAGGGTATTTGCCCGCCAAGATCTCTATCTGCATCTTGTACTTCATCGTCACACTAGATCTGTGCTTAATCTGGTGGATTTCGCAACGGGAGAACCGCCGCCGTGACCAGGAGAAGGAGGCATTGGGTGAGGCGTATGTGGTTCCAGAGAACCATGAATTTTTGGATCTTACAGACCGGGAGAACCCGGAATTTCGGTATGCGATATGAAGATGATTTTGTGTCTTTGAGGTGCGAATTTCCAACAGGCCCGGGACACATTCCAGTGCTTTGCTTCATCTGATTTTGGGCTGCCTTTTATCACTATGTCACTACAATTAGTCAAAATTTGTACATTTTTCATTAGTTATACAAGAGCAACACACTCATTTTAGAAGCCGTATTATAGAATAATTTCAACCCACTGCCCAGGTGATGTCGATCACATCCAGTCCACCCTTCAGCCCTGGACGATTCCAACTTCTTTCCCCTCGAAGCAGAACTCTCGTTTATGGCTAAAATAGCCTAGAATGCACCTCCTAATCCGTTCTCTTACAAATAGCGCCGGTAAGCAGGTGCATTTCTAGCCCGAAATGCAAGGCAGAAACAGACAGTTCTGTTCATATTTGATCAGCTCACTTCGCCCTGGACCTGACTTGTTGACTACAACTATATAGTACTTCTCTCTATATATAGAGGCTAGTTGCTTCTATCCCTTTTTTTAAAATTCCGCTTCTCGATCTTACATAATCCTTTTCAACTATGGATATCGAACGCCAGTTTCCTGGAGTTCACTGGATTTGGGGCGGAGGCATCTCTTTCGTGTACGAGGTTCACCCTCGCATCGAAGTCAACGTTCCGAAGTCTGGAGAATTCGAAAGGGGAACAATTCCGCAAAGAGCTTGAGATGTATCAACTACTCTCGCAATATCCGCCTGGTCCCTCTACTGTGCAGTGTTTTCTCTTTTCCGGCAGTCGTATCTTCCTCAAGCATATGAGAGGTGTGACCTCTATTGGTAGTTAGAAGATTGTCTGCTGTTTTGATTCCTTGCGATGTCACTTTCTTCTAGGATGCCAAAAATTCATACTCGGGACTAGCAAACTAGGGTTGTTTCTATAGTGGAAAAGTTAGAACCTCTACCCCAACCAAAAGAATGAATTAACGATCTCGGTCGTCGCTTTCTTAGGATCTATTAACCTTACGCTTGGTGATTTACGACCTAAAGATGATCTACTTAACCGCAACCGCAGCTCTCCGATTTCGACTAAACAGCGACAATTAGCACAAACTACGAAGCTTCTATAGCCCCGTAGGATAGAATACTCAACGATAGCGAGTCAGACCAAGGAGAATATGGGACATTTGGCTTTCTTGGCCCTCGAACAGTGCAATTTGGCCTCGGCTCTTTATACTATTTAATTAACCACGGCTTAGCGGCTTATAGAGATCGTTGCCTTACCGATCACCCTTTTAAGTATAGTCCTATGGTTGTGGACTTATACTGGAGAGAAGAGAATTTCCGAAATTGAACAGTAGTCCCCTGGTTGACGATATCAACGATCATCGTTAGTGTTATAGAATTATAGATATATAGAGAGGTTTTTAGAATAAGCCGCGTATCGAAAACATTTAGGAACGACGGATCCGATCCGATAGAAAGTTACGTAACGTAAATAAAGGGAGGGAAAGTAGCAAAGTGGCAGCCCTCGTCAAAACAATATTCAAGGAATGATAGCGTATGGCTTTATGTCACACAATATATCGGGTACGTGATGGCCTTGGAGTATAGTGGGGGTCGTTATTCAGAACTTCTACGGCAAGGCACAATCGTCGAGCGAGCTAGTGATGACAACCGTGATGAGCCGGATCAAAAGTACTGGGAGGAAGAATTTCTTTTGAAAATAAAAATCCGGCAAGGACTTAGAGAAACGTGGGCTTCTTCGCACTACGGTAGGTGTTTGAAAATGTATTGACACATTACCATGAATTAATGAGCAGTTGCTAGTAAGGAGCAATTAATAAAAGATATAAAAGTCGATGCCTTGGGAGTAGCAAGTTACGGAATTCGAGAAGGGATGATTGCAGATCGAACGCACAATCAACTCAGCCCCATGTTCACCTCATCGCTGAGCCCCCATTCCCTTTCCGCTCTTTCTGTCCCGCCCGCAGCTCGAGTTGACCACTGATCGAGATGGTCTTGCGAGTTCGCAATCTCCTTCTCGCGCAAACTGGCGCTGTCACTAGTGGCCACACTTCCTTCGCGAATGTAAGACGGCTTGCGGGAAATTTTGATATTGATGGGTCGCGAAGCGTCTGCTTTGTTGACTACTTTAGATGCATTTGAGCCCGTTGCACGTCCAGTATCAGCAGACAACCCACCAGGGGAGGTCTGTTCCTTGTTGGTACTGATGAACCATCGCCGACGATTGGATTTGGAGGGGGTGAATGGCGCAATGCTTTGTGAATCGGCGCTGTCGTCGCTCTCTTGTTCTTTTTGTTTTTCAAGGGCTAGCGTGATTCCGGAAATGGTTTCTCCAGAGCCATTCTGGGTGAGTTGAGGTGAGAGGTCCGCTAATTCAGCGTCACGGTACCACTTGCGTCGACGGGTATAGCGATCCCATCCATCTTGACCGCGGCGACCATCATTCCACTAGAGTTATGTTAGAAGATGGCACAACAAAAGCCGACGGAGAGAAAGCACCGACCTTATTATCATAGTAAATCCATCCTTCGCCGATTGACCCCTTCGAGTCTGATTTCCCACTGAAGTTGTCCGCTCCTTCGATGCGCCATTCACTTCCATCCACCCAGCGCCATTTGGCATCTCCGGTTTGAACGTCTGGCAACTCGAATGAATCTTTGGGATTCACCTCGTTCATATGCTCGTCGGTCCAGGGAGCACGTTCTGCCGGGAACAATGAGTAAGTCCACCCGATACCCAGCCAACGGCGCTGATTCTCATAGACAACAAACGTGAACCGCACACCCGCGTTGTTTCTGCGCCGCCGAGTTGTAATATTTAAGCCTTGCTTTTCGCCCTGGGCTTGGGCCGGGGCCTTTTGTGGACTGCTCGGGGCATCGGCGACAGAGAGTCCCGTGGCTGCGGCACATAGGCGACGCACGGCTCGAGACCGCCACAGAATGACACGCGAGACTCTAGCGGGCCGAGAATGATAAGTCAGAAAGATGGTGCCGACGGCCATGACGACCCGGCGTGTGGTGATTATGTAGAATGGAGGGAGAGTTAGACCGATCCAGACAGGAGTAACTAAAAGGATGCGGATGAACAGAGCTGTCAGCGCAGGTTTGGTGGTCGCCGACGTAGGCGTACGCTGCGTTGATAGGAAATCCGTGAGATCAAGCAGAGGCTCGAGGAGAATATTGCATCTGATTGTGAAGATGCGAAGTGTCTCAACAATTTCATCAAGACTCTTTTGATGACGTAGTGAGCTATCTGGGGCAACTTTGGTCTTGTGCTTTTCACCTGTTGATGTAGTTGATGACAGAGGCGAAAAACGGCGTCCATACATGCCGAGGATCAACGCGACTACGACCAGGATCGGTCCTGCACGAAGAATGATGGCATCGCTATATAGCACTATGGACCAAAAGGTGGCCACCAGCAGGAAGCTCTGCCACGGGTCTCCAGAAGTCCATGTTAGAAGACCAGCAAGTTTATTTAGAGGAAGTAGGAACGGGTGCGAGTAGGCTAGGGCTCGAGTGATAGCTGGTGGTGTGGCCACTAGGAGAGGTGATTTGCGATGCACAACGACACTGGAGCGCTGGCGCGAGGTCAGAGCCGAGCCGGTAATCGTCGATGGGGAGAAAGCAGCGACCGTCGGCGGTTGAGAATCCGACTGGCCGTGATCTTGTGCGTTCGATGAGGGTGCCATGGAGTCTATCCACGGAAGGTTGTCTGTTTTCCTATCAGTGATCGGATTCTAAGGAGACGTGTCATCAAAGATCATGCCTAAAGCTGCCATCCAATCATGGACAGGTCATAGAGAGACAATGAACTCATCCTCTGGGATAAGAGAGGATTCAATATGATCGTTCTTATATTCGGTCCAAAGAAGATTTGCGGGGAGATCGAAGTTGTGGACATGTGACTCTCGGTATAGTTGTGGTGTCAAGTGTTCTGATATTCGGATTGTTGTTGGGTTCCTTTAATTTATAGAGTAGATGTCTACATAAATGATACTGGATTAACGAAGACTACTTGGTCATTTTATCTCAAATCTCAAATCTCCGATGAGATAGGCTATAAACTGTCCTCCATGCTCATTCCCGTGCCTGGAGCTATCCCGACGCTAAAACCCGCAGCCGAAATTTTCCCCTTCTCTTCTTTCTTCCTTCAACCTAAAACATCGTGATCGCCTCCTCAACGGCACTTTCTCAATGGTATGTCTATTGAGCTTTTCATTCTTCCCATTTTCAAAATTTGAACTAATCATCTCCTAGGCTCACCGCATTGTCTCTCAAGTCGTCGTGACCGGAGCCCGGGTCTTCGGCCGCGCCTTCGCCGAAGCCTACAAACAAGCCCAGGCGTCTGGCAAATACGCTGGCCAGCAAAAGGCGGCCGGCAAGTCCAGCACCACCTCGACAGTGACCATCGATGAAGCCTGCAAAATCCTGAACGTCAAGCCTCCGGCCTCCGGCGAACACGACCTTGAACACGTCATGACCCGATTCAAGAAATTGTTCGATACCAACAACCCCGAAAAGGGCGGCAGCTTCTATCTGCAAAGCAAGATTTTGCGTGCACGCGAGCGGTTGGAAATGGAGTTCCGCGAGATTGAGCGCAAAGCCGCGCACGACAAGGAGTTGAAGGAAGGCTGGAACCCCAAGGTGTACAAGGATAAATGAACACGACAATAAGTGCGGTTCTCCGGCTCTCCGGGCCTCCGTCTTTCCTACGAGCACATCTACGCTTTTCTGCGACAAAAGACTTGGACTCCAACCGGCTTCTTTGTTTTCGATCTGCTTGTCTTTCTCGTTTTGGCATAGCATGGCGTTTTGGGTTGTTGGAGAAAGACGCCTCAATTTTCTAGATTGAGGTCTTTCTCTATGATATTTCAAGATGGTTTCCGAATTCCCGACAATATCATCTCCGGTCAGAAGTGGAAGGGCTACCTCCATCTTCGACCCATCGACCTTTCGGTCTGTGTATATCATCTGTGATGCGCCGCGTTCCATTGACCCCCTTCTCCACTCTCACTCGGAAAGGATTGTACTATAGCTATATACTTGCATTCACTTGTGTAATGTCCGATCTAGATTTATTTACTGTGTATTCTTTGCAGGTGTAAAAAGTACATCGTAGTTTGTCGGAATCTGCCACTGAACCTTTTTCCCCTTTTAGCCAACGCCGCCGCAGGATGTCTCTGCATCTATATGTATCAAGGGGTCATTCGATCTTAAGAACCACACAACCAAAACTTACAAACAAGAAAATGTAACGCAAAGCCGATCGGATCGTGGCCACATGTCCCGATCTGGGGGGAATCCCCCGCCATGGCGCCATTCGGAGCGGAGCCGACGGGGGGGCTTCTGCCTTTTTTTTTTTCCAGAGAAACTATAAGCACTATACAACATACTTGCTATTCGAAGACTTCAGACTTACCCAGTTAACCGATCTCCAAGAGATACCCCCTTCATCCATAGCTGGCTCTTCATTGACAACTTTTGACCTCCCAAACCACACACCATGCGCCCCTCCACCCCACTGTCCGCGGCCCTGCCGCCGCTGATAATGGGCACCGCAACCTTCAACAACCAATATAACGCCGACCCCTACGCCCTCCCAACAACAGAACTCGTCCAGCGCGCACTGTCGCGCGGCATCCGCGCCTTCGATACATCCCCCTACTACGGCCCCGCAGAAGAACTCCTCGGCCGCGCCCTCGCATCAGAAACCGTTCAAACCAACTTCCCACGGGAGACATACCACCTCCTCACCAAAGTCGGGCGCATAGCGAGCTCATCCTTCGACTACTCGCCACAATGGATCAGACACAGCGTCCGACGTAGCCTACAACGCCTACACACAGACTACCTGGACGTAGTGTACTGTCACGACGTGGAGTTCGTGACGGCGGCGGAAGTAGTCACGGCGGTGCGGGAGCTGCGTCGTCTCCGCGATGAAGAGGGCGTGCTACGCTACGTCGGTATTTCCGGTTACCCAGTCGACACGCTCAGCGAGTTGGCGGAGACGGTCCTTCGTGAGACGGGTGAGCCGCTAGATATTGTGATGTCGTATGCCAACTTCACTTTGCAGAATACCCGGCTGCACTCGCATGCCCTGCCTAGGCTGATTGCTGCTGGCGTTGATGTTATTCCTAATGCATCGCCCCTGGGGATGGGATTGCTTCGTCGTGACGGTGTGCCGATTGGCTCGATGGGCGATTTCCACCCCGCCCCCAGTGCCCTGCGCAGTGCTATTCGCAGTGCTTCAGATTGTGCTTCGCAGCATGACGAGAAACTTGAGGTTGTTGCAATTCGGTTTGCGCTAGAGGCGTGGCTGCGTGTTGGTGCTCGGGCTGGAGGTCATGGTGCGCCGCTTGCTCGTGCTGCGGACGCTGATCCTGGATTCTTGTCTGTGGCCAGTGTGGGTACGGGGAGGAGGCTCGGTGTTAGCGTTATGGGCGTTAGCAATATCGCGGAGCTGGAGGAGACTTTGCGCGTGTGGCACAGCATCGTCGATGGACTGGAGAATTGGAATGAGGATGACGACGCTTCTTATTTCGATATTGAGTTGAAACCACCTGGACTGTCGACTTCTAGCCTAGACATTTCGACGGGCGATATTCCCACGGCGGCGAATATCCTCACGCCCCAGGAGGATCTTATCACGGACCGTGCTTGGTCTCATGCACGCGGAGCTCATATCTTGCAGCTGGCGCGAGAGATTCGAGGGATAATAGGTACAGAATGGGTTGATTATGCCTGGGCCAGTCCGTCACCAGATTTTGTGAATTCATTGTCCGAGGAGCATATCGCCGCTGTGCAGCAGATCGAGGCCGAAGAGAGGGCAGGACGGAAGCCTTCTCTCTCCATATCTGATACTGTTATCACGGAGGAACCTATGCCGACACCGCCGTCAGATGTGGAAAAGCAGCTTGCATAGAATTCAGAAACAGAATTTTATGAATGTGTCGAGAGACAGTTTTGATGCCTCCCAACCTTTTCTCGTATCTCTTGTATGTATTTCTATGGATCTGGGTTAGACAAAGGTTGCCCAGGCAGGCGGGAAGGGACTCAGCAACCCGTGGAGATGGGCCCATCGTCCAATTGTAGAAAGGCAAGCTCGGCCTTTAGTCCTAAGCCCGGGCTCCGGCTACTCCAGTCCTCTCCCAGAAGTCGCATATAGCGCTATCAGGGTGAGAAGGAAGGCATGGGAAGGAGAGGGCAAAGGAAAAGCAAGAAAGGTAAACGCCAACAAACATGGATCCACGTTGGGCGCGAATCCACGATCATCGGGGGGTTTCATTGGAATCACTAACAGCATCCCATGTAGGGACCAAGGAACTGCAAGAACTAAATGCTCGTCGAGGGGGACCCGAGAAAGCATCAGACATTGAGGCGCCGGGTCGACTTGAACAGACGGTTAAAACCTGATCATCCAAGGGTTGAGATTGTCGAGGCTTTTCCATGTTGAGACTAGCTTTCGATCAAATAAGTTCAAAACCCGACTTCAACATTCAGATAGCCTTAATCAATTGTAACCGAGGGACAAGTCAACAGATTCTGGCGAAATCGAAGTCCGGGAGATAATCCTAGATAGTAAGTTGCTTTTTTCGTCTCAAGCTCAAAGAATGCTTGTTCTTGATATTCCACCAGTCATTCGCTGCGCTTCTCGCCATCGAGAAGTAGAAGCAGACGGTTTTGCCGAAGCAGACGCGAAGATATCACCAACCCCCACCATACCGCTAGTGCATACATCCCTCCTCTCTTCCCCGTGCAAATCACCAAACCGTTCGAAGTAAGGGGTATCATCATACAAAATAAAGCATACAAACAGAAACCAAAAGGAAGTCGTTGCGGGCGTAAAAATTGAGACTTAAATTTATGCCGAAGCGAGGAGTTTCTGCTCTCTCGTGTCCAGGTCTGCGTTCATCTGCTCATCGGTCTCGTAACCTCCATGGCGGCGAGCTTGGCGGAGGCTGAGGGTATTAGGGAGTTTCTTTAGGTCGGGCCTCAGGCGTTTGAGTCTGGCAGCACGCTCCTGACACAACTGACGTCTTGTCTCACCTTTCCGAGCTTTCGCAGATTTAGCTTCGGGTCCGCGCGCTTCATCAGAGGATATATCTTCTGGCTCCGATTTTGTGCCCTTCGATTTTGCCTTGGGCTTTTTGGCAAGCTTGCCGACCGGTGGCGCCGGGGGCGCTGGCTGGGGGGGAAGAGCTCCGTCGACAGGAGGGGGAGGAGGAGGGGAGGCTCTATTAGCAGGAGGGGATCCCGGCGGCGGAGGCGGAGGCGGAGACTCCCTGTAACGAGCAAATCTCTCTTCTGTCATGAACACCTGACGGAGCTGGAAGCGTTGTTCGATGTATTCATCGAAATTCGCTGCAATGATAGGTTCAAGGATGCTCTTGTTCGATCCTTGCACAAGTGCAAGATATTCCATGCGATTCTTCAGGGCAGTATGGGCATTAGAAAAAGCTCGGAAGATCAATCCAATTTCCTTCGTGCCACCTGAGATGTCGTTATCTCGATTATTGGGATCTTCAATCGTGAGACGATCGGGATTGCCGAAATAATAGCCCTTTTTGAAAAAATTAGCTCACTAGTTGGCCAGTAACGCAACCCTGAGTCCGCTCACCTTGTTAAAATAGCCTGGAGGGTCCATCCGAATTGCCAGTTTATCGTAAGAAAGTTGCTTCCCATAGAAGTTGAAAAACTCGAGCAATATGGTTCCTAGGTTTGGCTGCATATGGCCCTGAGGCAAATGCTGGAGAATGCTTGTGACCAAGCAAGTGATGGAGAAACCTCCTAGTCCACCAGTCGGGACTTCATTAAGGCCGCGGATCAACAAGAATTGTTTAATCACAGCCAGGATCACAGGCATCGTCGGATACTCGGTTTTCCATTTCTGGAATGTCTCGTTGGCGATCAAGCCACTGTCATTGTCGAAAGACAAATCCACTCGTAATCCAGTCAGCTTGTCTACCCACTTGAGAATCGGCACACGGGCGGAGGCAATGCACTCGATCGAGTTAGGAACAGCAAGATTTGTACTCTTGAGAAAAGCCGAAAACGCGTAAATTTGGCCTTTCCTCTCTCCGAACGTTCGAACTCCCGTGCGTAAAAATGTGTGAGAAAGTAACACCAGATCAACATCAGCTGTGGGGAGATAGAGGCCCGAGGCAAAAGAACCAAAGGCTCGAATTGAAACGTTATGGTATCTTTGCTGGAATGCAGTCTCCAATCGATTGACAAGATCTGCGCGGACAATGTGTTCGAATTCTTGTGGCTTGGCCCAATGGTAGAAGCTGAGAATCTCATTATGTAGCCTGGTTTAGATGTTAGAGAAAAGTGAGTGAAAGCAGAAAGAGCGCGAAGGATAGTACTGACTGGGTTCCCACGTGTAAGGAAGTGGGGGTGCCCTCGAACCAAGGTGTGCCTGTCTCTTGAGAAAGTGGTTTCCATTGATCGATAACGGAACCATCGTAGTTGAACCTGCTGGCAGGCTTTCCGGTTTTTCGGGAGTATCCTTTGATCTCATCGTCACGGGTTCGCTTTCGACTCGCAATGGCTGAATCTAAAACTTCATGCGCCTTTGGCCCTCTGGGGGCATTATCAGGAGCTTTGCTTTGAGGAGCCTCTGGTTCGATTGCCATTCCAAGAGAAATGAAGTCTGAGTTTTGCTTGACTGCATCCGTCTCGTCTATCTTTGCGGCAACGTCAAGTCTCGCCTTGCGAATCAGCTTGACAACATCCACTCTTTTGTTTGTAATCTCGGCCGGAGGAGGTAGCGCGGTGTACGGATCGGGGTTTGACCATTTGGGAGCAGGAGGGGCTGAAGTAGTGTCTTGAGGCCCATCAAGAGCTAGCGCACGTCTCTTACGGGGTCGCTCAGTGTCGGAGTCATCGGACATGTCCATTTCTGCCTCCTCGCTGTCGCTCAAAGTAGAAAGTTCGGCGAACTTGAGTCCAGGCTTAGAGTCGCTCTCAAGCCGTTCGGGCATGCTTTCCCTCTTCGAGGACAACAACGGTCGGTCCGAGGTAGCTGGTTTCTGGTACCGGAACGTGAACTCATGGCGCGGATTAGGACGCGAGTCACGATAGTTAGAACTTCCTCTGAACTGGAAGGGGGCGAATGGAGGCATTGGCATTTGGAACAGCTGCGGTTAAGCAGCAAAAATGCAGACGCGTGGAGAAAAAAGAATCAAGACTGTCCGGTTTCGACACGCGAAAAAAATATCTCCGAAAAAGTCAGGCGGAGGAAAGGCGGTGACGGACTCGATCGCGCCTTCCACGTGTGTGTGCCGGGCATTACGGAGTATACGAAAGGACATTCATAGATGTCGACTTTAAGTCTCTCTGAGAATATGTCTAGAGGCTCTCCTCTGAAAAATCAATGAAATCGTGCTGCATCGGCATCTCAACAAAGCTGATATGATTTGTTGCCTACATTCGCATCAATCAGCAGTGGTCGTTTATCACAATTTCAAAAGGCAATAGCCCTACAGCAGCTGCAGAAGTCTCTATATACCCCTAGTGAACTTCCATGCCACCGTATGGTCCCTTCATTGAAAAACAGAAGTGACCCGTCTGCGTTGTGTATTAGACATGGGCACAAATTCCTAGGTCTGGACGGGAAATCCACTTTCCAGTCGACAGCTATTGCAATAGGTTTTGGAAGCTATTTCTTAACATTATTCCGTTACCGCCGTTTAAGATCATCAAGATTCGCTCCAGACCCGGTGTAACTAGTATGGAACTAGGAGATCTGGTCATGGCAAGGACGTTTGTAAGAACGATGTATCTGGCTTGGTGACATAAAACTCAACTCCTCCATAGAGGCAACTTACCTGTAAATTCTGGCTTGTGGATATCCATATATATGTTTCCACTCGGTTTACGGATTCTCGGTTTGGGCTCTTACTACATATTGTAAGCATGTAATCTGCAACCTGTGACGGTGGACCCCGTTCCAGGAATCAGTGCACTGAGTCCACTGTCACTAGTCTAGCTGCTTTGCTAGTGCTCAACCGCTCAGACCGAGGGAACATTCTTTGCTGCCAACAAACCCAGGGTAGCCAGAAATTGACTACCAGATTATAAGCGAGCAAATACATGGGCACCGCATGTCTTGCAGAAAAAGCAGCTCATGTGGTTGGACTGTTGATATTTATACAGCTCATCTAGGTTCGGTAGTTCGTGCTAGAGGAGATTGTACGATGAAGATAACTGCCAATTCACTATCCGACAATCGTTGTACTGGCATAATTGGAGATTGGATTGGTCGGTGACAGAATACAATTGGGCAGGTGAAGCCACGCTTCCGCGTATCCAGTCAATCGGAGTAGACATGGTTTGAGGCCGCAAATAATTTCGAGATCCTCAATATTCTCAAAACCAATGCGTTGGCTATGTGCGTAAGCGGGGACAGTAATATCACAAATGTAACGTGGACCGAGATGCAAGCAATGAGAATTCACTCAAATGTCTGACCCTCTCGACGTAACTATCCCGGAAAGTCACGAGTGTATAAAGTCCCGGCCCCATCCCTCTTCTCTCTTCCCCCCACCTCGCCTCAACAACACAACTTCAAAAGCTTCACCAGTTTTTACCACTCCAATCCTACAAAATGAGTAAGTGCATTCATATCTCATGCTATATGCTACTTCACAATATGGTGAAGAACCGCGCTTTGCCTGGCCAGATTTTCGAAATGGCGGGGTCATAGCGGGGTTGTCCCTCGTCGTGCTTCACTTTTTTTTCTTTCAATGCTGACCACTGTGATAGCCGACCACGGATGCAGCTGTGGCTCTTCTTGCCAGTGCCCTGCCGGCTCTTGCCACTGCCCTGTATGTGTTATCCTCTTCTTCGATGACGTCTGGCTGACCACGACCTCTCCATCTGTTTAGAAGAAATAAATCACCCAAGTGGGTACGATGATTTGATGTGAACCTCTCAGTGGATATGAACATGCAGTGAGACGGAGGATTTTTGGTTTGGGGTAGTTCCCGACTGGGTTCTTCGGAGCTGCACGCCATGTCACAAAATAAGGGGTCATAGTGAATGACATGCGGTTACTCGATCACTTTTATTCTTTGTAGAACAAGTACCTTGTGGGCATCAGATCCAAATTCTCGGTCTTTGGATCGGTATAGATCAACCTTGGGGATTTCTATCAACCTTGGGGGCTCAACGGTCTGTCCGACATATTTAGATGCCCGAAAAGCTCCCTGAGCAGAGAAATAGTAGACACATCTAGCATGCAACGTGGGGTACCTCAGTACATACTTAGATCAGGCCACTCCGTTCAATCAAATAACCCCCCGAGGCCGAGTCAACGAGAATTTCGTGTTGACTCCCGCACCCAACCACCCAGTCCACCGAGTGATCATCCCATCGTGATGTCTACCAGATACGGAAATACCCTTCCCACTAAATCTAGCCTATGCGGCATTTTCGCTATCTTCCAACATCGAACAACCCAACAACTTGTCCCGCGTAGATTCGGATGCAATGAACGATAAAAGCGGAACTCGATGCTGCACGAGTCCGAGAACAGTAGTATCAGATCGGAGCCAATCATAAACATACATGCACCGCGGAGAGGGTCTGTGATATCTGCTCTGGTAGCTTCCAAGATGCAGCCTCTCCACTTTCTCGTACCTCGCCAAGGAGTCTGTGCTCGTATCCAAATGAGGTCCAAACGCAGACAGTCGTTTCTATGTCACGTAGATTGTACCAAGTAGGATGCCTCTCCAAGTCCATGTTGTTTGATCTCACCCCTTGGGAGACACACTACACGGTTCGAAGTAGATTAAATGCAAAAACGCAGTGACTTGATCTAATGCCGGTCTCAAACTGGCTTCGGGAGCTAATACAAGCCCCCCCGCAGGTGCAAGTAGAGCGTCTCGCCCGTCATACGGTTTCCATACACTAACATTCCCCCGAACGCAACAAAGAAAGACACGAATACAGAAACACCCTGGCATGACCTCAGGTACTCCAGGGCTACCAATGAGGGCCAATAACACCCCTCCTTAAAGGTCCAAACTTCGCCTCATAGGCTGCCACGAAAATAGTCCGCCCCGAAACCGCTGCAGGCGCCAGAAATTGCATAGTTGGCCCTTGGTTGCTGGGCCTCCACAATTTTTTTGAATACAACGTTTAGCCTAGTTCATTCTAGTCCTTACCGTCCAAGTCTCGTACGCATATTATATGACTGTATTCATGATATCACAAAGAGCCCGTCTCGAATTCAGTGGATCAGACATGGCTTGCAGATCTACGAAACGTAGCCGTCACCGTGGCCTGATGAAGGTCTTTCAATTAGACTAATTGGGAGTGTTTGCCACTGCTTCATATATTTACTCTCTTCAATGTCTTATATGCAGTTACATAATAGCCCCTTTACAGAGCAGGTATCATATGATCAATGAAAACAAGTATCCAAGTTCAATCGAGACCCGAAGGCAAGCATTCCACAACTATGCTATAAGAAACGATGACCATATCTGGCAAAGCATAAACAACGCATGCAACTGCTCCACAAAATGAACCCTGCACGATTTTTAGTCTTCAGTCTAAGTAAGATAGTCTAGCCATACTCTTCGCAGGAACCCAGTCCGAGCACTAATCTGATCTACTCCATGCATAACCTGATTAACCCGATCATGGTTTACTTAGGTACGCACCATTAGCACCAAGCAAACACCGATAGATATCACATTCAGATGGAGGAAAATTGGAACAGACGAAGTTTGTTTAAGTGGTCTCCGCACCATATCTGGCCAAGAGAGCTATCCGAATTGAGAAGTTTACATCATTGGCAGGCCCCGATAGTCTCCGCGTTATTGGCGAGCGGGTAGAGAAAGCTGAATCTGGTACTTTTTACAGCGGATAGCGCGTAAAAAAAAAGGCAAAAGAACTTGATAGGTGGCAAGCTGATTGGGGTCGGGGAATCCTAAGTGGAATGCAGGACTGGGCTCATTTGACTCGACCACACGATACGATGAAGTGTGGATGGGGCGCCACAGAGACGTTACTACGTCTTGGATTGGATGGAAGGCGCATGATAGACGGGGAAATAGAATCATCTGCCTTGTTGACTTGGACAAAGTAGCAATCCTAGATTTCAGAGCTATAAAGCAGGCCTCACATCCCTCCCCCGTTCGACTTCCATTCTCTATCCAAGCTTTCTACCATCCAAACACTACTCTCAGGCTTTTTCCAAGGTTCCTCGTCTGCCAAATCTATTCATCATGTCTCCCTGCAACTGCAACTGCTGCTCCGGCGACTGCAAGTCCTGCTCTTGCTCCACCTGCGCTGTATGTCATTGCTTGATCCCCTCTGTGTCTTATAAGCATCGTCACGCAGGAGTGGGATGCATTCTTGGGGCAAAAACATCTGCTAACTACTTTTCTAGCACTAAGCCGGCTAACGAGCCTTTGGCACCGCCCTCATCCTCCAATGCAACCCCATGCCAGACCCGGGCTCCCACTGCTATCGAACTAGCTAGGGTACGGATTTCCTCACTGTCGAGGTTATGAGATCATTCTATTGTGATTTGGTCATGATCGAGATGATTGTTTGCTAGGATTTGGGAATAGGGCTTGGAGTCTTATGGATGGGGTGTCAAGTCCATATCGGTTCAGATCCGACTCTTGTGATTTAGTTTCCAGGCAACTATAAACCTGGTTATAGTGCTCTCTGTGATCTCTTGTAGTATTCTATGTATGCTCCAGTAAATGTGGGTTGATCCTAGTTATGCCATGAACCGTCCGTCTAGCTACATAGGCACAGTTGACAAATGTTGTGTCAAATCTCGATCACCGAGAGGCAAATGCATACTGTGATACTACATATCTAAGAACTAAAAATGGCAGTGTCAAAAAGCGCTCAAAATGCAATTCAGTCTACCCAATGGGATGCAAGTGGAATTATAATTCAATGCACATGTATCAACACATCTCTAGATCTAACATAGCCGTCATAGCTCGTCTTTCGAGCGAGGTGCAGCATTACCTGCCTCCTCACCACCTGCACAAACAGCCGGCGAGGTAACAAGCATAGAGTATACGCACTTCTCCTCTTCCGCTGTCTTCAAGATCTTGTTCTCTTCACCGCACTCCAAAATGACCTTGGTCGACCGGTTAGGTCCATTCCAGCAAGACTGGCCGCGGTTGTACTCAATCGTCATCTTCTCGACATTGACAACCTCGCCAGCCGCGTTAACTTCTTCCACGCTCGTGGTTCCAACATGCGAGAATTTGCCCATGGACACGGAATTTCCTCCCTTCCGCTGGTTCTGCTTGGTGGAATCAAGGAAGCAATGCTCGTACGTGTACTCACCCGCATCCTGAGTGATACACACCCCCTTGAGGGCGCGGAAGATGGAGCTAGGGCCATAATCTTGCTCAAGGTCGGCACGCTGGTCGCGCAGCTTGTTCTTGAGACTTGTAACAGATTCTTGCGCGGCTTTGAGGGCTTCGCGTGCCTGTGTCACGGCCTTGGATTCCGAGGAAGAGTTCTCATCGGCTTTTGGCAGAATGCCCTTTTCTTCAAGGAAGCCCTTAGCAAATACGATCCTGTCTTCAATGAAGCTGACAAGGGAAGGCGGGAGATAAGCAGCGAGCTTGTACACTACAGTTGCCCGTTAGTGAGCTGTACTAGGTGCCACAAGGAACCAAAGATAACTTACCTAGATCCGAGTCATTGCATCCATCCTCCTCACTTTCCCAGTGCTCCCAGTTGATACCGCTATCCTCGTCGTCGACCTTGGCGATCTCGTCCAAGTCGCGGTCCACGGCACCATTCGCAACCTCGGTGCCTTGCTCACGAGCAGCGTAATCCTCATAGCTACGGACCGCACGTTTGACACCCTCGTCATTGAAATTGGGGTTATATTCGACCTTGAACTTGGCCAGAATATCCTCAAGCTCCTTCACCCGCTCGCGGGCTTCATTCCGCTGGCGACGCACATCAACCAACGCATTGCGTAGTTCATCAACACGGGCCTTGGCCAAGTTGGAAAGGGCATTGACTTTGCCTTTACCCTTTCCAGTGCGGACTACTTTACTGTCCTGCTCCTGGGCGAGCTTCAGATCAGCCTCAAGGTTTTGTTCCTTGAGCTCAGCGCCCTGAACCTCGGCCTCTAGCGCAGCAACATGATCCTCAATCTCCTGCTTTTGGCGACTAGCATCGACAAGAAGATCCCTCTTCTTCTTCAGGGCCGCGGTCATCGACTTCTGGGTCTGCTCCTCCTGCTTCCGCCGTTGCTTGCCAATCTCCTTGCAACGGTCTTCACACTTTGTGCCCCCAACGTGAGCCCACTCATCGCTACCATCACAACACTGCTCATAATCACAGATGCCATCGTTGATACGCTGGAAAGGTACGTAGGATGGCCGGTGGCCCTTGTTTTTGCAGTAGAATCCCGGAAGGGCGAGTGCGGTGTCCAAACCGCTATTCCCGGGCCGGTCAGCTACCGTTAGCGGCGAATTGCGTGAGATATGTGCGCAGGCTGACGTGCCAGGCTCGTCGCTTCCATCGGGGCAGTCACAGTAATCATCGTTGACAGCCGAGAAGGGGATTTTGATCGAGGGATTCGAGATACAGGTGAATGTCGTCGAGTCCTGGTAGAATTTGGCAACTGAAAATACTACATTAGCATAATACCCAAGGGGGGGAAACGATCAATTGCCTATCATAGATCACTGCGACATGAACCGGCTGCAGGAACACTAGTGGAGATCTAAAAGACATGTTCAAATACTCACATTCTGGGCCCAAGCCGCGGGGACGTGCAGGCTTGTCACTACTAGCCTGGGCCACCGACCCAGCGGCAGCTAGCAACAAGAATGACTTAGGGAGTCTCATGCTTGATGCATTGAGCTTTGTTTGTGGAGGTGCGGAGAGAGCTTCTGGCCAGCTGTTGATAGCGGGCCCGGGCTGGATCTAATCGGCGCTGAGTCAGCACGCTATCTTTCCAACTTTATCGTGGCAAAGTGGGAGAGCATCCTACATCAACTGCATCGCAAACATGGGTAATGACGGTGGCAGGTGAGTGATTAAATTATATATGTGCCTTAAGACTGAAGATTTTTAACACAAGGATTAATAGTATTCCGACTCGCCGAGAGCTCGTCCGCGAAGCAGCCCGCGCCCCAAGCACAGCGCAAGTAAAAGAAACCCAGCGCGAGCAGCAAGAACACTCCTGGACTACCTGTCCGCTCTCACACAGGTTCCTATCGCGGCCAATAGTATCTGACTCTGTTGGGAATCTTTACAATAAGGACGCTATACTCCAGTTCCTGCTCCCGGGCGACGATATCGAGGGCATTAGCTCCAAGGCCAACTGCGAAGAGATCCTGTGTGGACGAGTGAAGTCGCTCCGGGATGTGGTTGAGATGAAATTTGAAGTTGATACAGAGCTTACTGAGCACCCGTCAGGCCGTGCTTATGCGCCACGTGAGCGCCGTGAGGGCTGGATCTGCCCGGTCACCGCAAAGCCGCTAGGCCCGAGTGTGAAGTCTGTATACCTAGTGCCGTGTGGACATGTATTTGCAGAGGAGGCTATCAGGCAGCTCAAAGGTGACAAGTGCTTGCAGGTAAAAATCACACCTTGTATACAAAGTGGAAACTGTGGCTGACATGTGTGCTAGTGCAATGAACCCTACACCGAAGACAACATCATAAACATACTTACTACCAAAAAAGAAGATAAGCAACGTCTGATAGCACGAGGCCAGAAACTTGCTGAACAGGGCCTCACACACTCGCTCAAAAAAGCTCCTGGCTCAAAGAAGCGCAAGAAGAACGCCACTGCCGAGGACACCACTGATGCTCCCGGTACCATAGAGCCTGCTGGCCTGGTAGTACCGAAGAAATCTTCAGATTCGAAAAGCCGAAGTAACACTTCCACGCCAGTGCCTAGCACTGCTTCTGGCAGTGGAATCAAGAACGCTGCTACCTCTTCGCTCACTGCCCGCGTGTTGGCGGAGGAGAATGAGAAAAAGAAGCGCCGGAAGATGATGGGTCAAAATGAAAATCTCGACAGTCTATTTACCAAGAAGGACGGCGGGTCCAATAATCGTGATTTCATGACCAGAGGATTTTCAATATCATGACCCGAGGCTGTTCCATCTTCTGCTGCGCAGAGATAGATACTGGGCCTAATAAAAGAAGTGTCTTTGTTCTTCAATCTGATAGATGGTCGTGGGGGAGTTCTATCTCGGGAGTTCATAGTGCTTTGATTTTTTTTTTTTAAAATGATTGGCGGTGACTACAGCGTTGTATGCTGGAGGGTTAGATTGCTAGAGATGCCGTACATTCCTGAATTAACATGTATAATAATGTGAACTCACTTGACATTATGGAACGAAACAAGGACCAAAAAGCAATTCAATCAACAACTCTAATGTACAAAAGATTGCTCTTATATGAGGGAAAGGAATGCATCCAACAATCTACAGATAAAGAAAGGCCTAGGCATTCAGCTCAGTCTTCTTAGCCTGCTTCCAGGGCGGTGATTGTTTCTGACCCAGGCTCTTGGTGATCAAGCCACTCTTGTAGAGCGTAGAAACAATGGCCTTCTTGCGGCCAAGATCTTCATCATTGTCATGGCGAGTCTGGCGGACGTCGGAGATCTTGACATTAGGCAACTCAGCGGCGCCGTTCTTGTCCATAATCTTGTGGAGAAGCACAGGTGTCAATCTGGTTGTCTTTTTGCGAAGTGCCTCCTGTGCGCGGAAGACATCTCCAGTAGTGGCGGAAGAGGTGATAGTGTAGTCAGAAATGTGCTGAGACATCAGTTTGGAGAGGCGGGCGAAGAACTGAAATGTGGTTGTTAGTCATGGTGATGTTGAATAGAAAAGGTCGAAGAGGGAATACGAACAACAAACTTGACGTTTCCATCAGCCAACGAAAGTGAACTGAGGCTATTCTGAATCTGACCCTTGGACTCTGCACCATATAGGCGATCTCCCTGCTCGGTAGCTTTCTTCAACTTCTCCTCGAACGCGACCTCGCCGGCTTTGCCGTCCACAGCCCCGGCTGCATTGCGCAGAAGTGATTCCATTGTCTTAATGTCGGGGAACCGGAGACGGTCACCCCAGTTATCAGATTGACCTTGGATCTTAACTGACTTGAGCTGGGCTTCGATCGCTCGGCTGTTGTTCTTGCTAACAACGGTGACCTTTTCGCCCAACATTTGCTTCAAACCAATCTCCACGGCAGCTTGATGCGCAGCATTCATGTATGGTAAAGGTCGTGGGTTGTGGTACCACCTATTTGATCAATCAAGAAGGACATCGTCAGCAAAACCATCGAGACATCAAACCAGAATGAATGCAGAGGCATCGAATTGGAAACTTGGATCAATCGTACGGTTTGACTCTATCGGCTTGTCCTTTCGAACCCTTCAGACGCCATTCTTTCTCCTTGAGATAACCAATCCTGGGCATTCCCTCCCAGGTCAGGTTCTCATCAATTTCTTCAAATCGCGCTTGACCCTCTTCAAGATTGAATGCCTCCTCTGGAGCCGGCTCTCCGGGACTCATTCCTGCCCCAGGCATGATTTGACTTCCAGTGTAAGGGTCTGCTAGACCTGGGGGGTTGTCGGTGCCCCAAATCTTGCGCCGAGCGCGCTCGAGGATTCCGGGGGAGGAGTCGGAGGCATAGCGGCGGGTTGGACCGAGCGGAGATATACGGGGAGTGGCTTGAATTTTGCAGCTGGAACAGATAAAGTTTGCCTCCCGCAGAGGGAGGCGCATTGAGGGTCGCATTGTTAAGTTGGGCGCGAATGCTGTTTAAGAGCGTCGAGCTGGCGGAGTTGGCCCGGACGGAGAAACAAATTCAAGAAAGGCACGGGTCACGTGTGGGGATCTTGATGCTTGGCATTTTGGTGTTTTCTCTCCGATCTCGACTCCGATGCCAGGACTTTGACATTGGAAACAAATTATCGAGCGTAAATGAAACTGCGTCAGGAGCTTTGCTGTACTCTACCAATTTCTTTATTTGGGGGTTTCGCTTAAAATCCACGCTTGATATTGAATGAGCATCATTCTTCAACTGTCATTCCATGTCTAAACAAAAGGAAAGAGAATCATTCACAGTATGCAAACTGTATATACACATGCACCGCTGGTATCACACTACTAAGCAAAATCGACCAAAAGAACATTTGCGCAAAGCAAGCAAATCGACTTACTCACGGACAAACATGCCCGCCATACCCATACCTGTACCAATGCACATACTAATAACACCGATCTCCTGGCCACTGCGCTCCAACTCAGGCAACAGAGTAGCCAGTTGGCGAGCACCAGTTGCACCAAGGGGGTGACCAATAGCAATAGCACCACCATTAGGGTTCACCTTAGCCTGATCGATTCCAAGCTTGCGAACGCTGTATAGAGCCTGCGAGGCGAATGCCTCGTTAATCTCCCAAATACCGACCTCGGAAACTTCAACGCCAACGGCCTGCAGAAGCTTAGGGATGGCAACAGCAGGACCAACACCCATCTCATCAGGGGCACAGCCCGCGACAGCAGACGCGATCCAGCGCGCCTTAATAGAACCAGACAGACCCAGCTCCTCGGCGGTAGAGCGACGCATCAACAAAGCAGCAGCGGCACCGTCGCTGACCTGCGAACTGTTACCGGCGGTGCTGGCACCGGTAGGTGCGAAAGCGGGCTTGAGCGCGCCCACCTTCTCGAGGGACAGACCGTGGCGGATACCGTCGTCCTGGGAGACTGTCACTTCCTTAGCGGGGGCATCTGGATTCTCGGAGTCAAGTGTCTTAGTAGTGACAGAGACAATCTCGGAGTCGAAGCGGCCAGCCTTCTGGGCGGCAGAGGCCTTAGCGTGGGACTCGACAGCGAAAGCGTCTTGGTCTGCGCGGGAGATACCGTAGCGTGATGCGACGTTCTCCGAGGTAATTCCCATGGGCATGATACAGTCACGGGCATCTTGGGAGTAGGACTCCTTTAGTTCGGGCCACAGGACTGTGGGGATGGCGCGAGAGCCGTAGTTTCGGGTCATAGATTCCATACCGCCGCCAACGCCGACGTTAATGGCGCCGGCACGGATACCGTTGGCAATAGTTGTGATAGCTGCTAGACCAGATGAGCATTGGCGGTTGATCGTGTTGAACGGTACGGAGTGAGGGAAGCCCGCGTGGATCTGGCCCATGCGGCCGGCTTTGGCGCCGCCTAGTTCTTGTAGGACGGAGCCGATGAGCACATCGTCTATCTTCGCGGGGTCGAGGTTCGGGTTTGCCGTTAATGTGGCTTGCAGCACGCTGGCGAGTAGCTCTTCTGGGTAGGCGTCTTTGAAACCACCTTTCTTGGCGCGGGTGACAGGCGTGCGCAGCGAGGAGAGGATGACGATGTCATTGGGGGACTTCTGAAGCACATGGCGGAGCCCGCGGGGAATTGGAGAAGTCATGATTTTGTAGGTTCGTTGGATTGTTCGAAATTAGTGGAAAATTGTATGCCGACGGTCAAGGGTATTTCCAGTCTTTCTGGGATCTGTCAGTCAAGTTGAATATCATGCTCTGGGATAGTAACTCACATCTATACAATGGGTGAAGTATGCAAGAAAGAAAACAAACAGAGGAACCGATAACAACTCCATCCAACCCTCCCCGGGACACCAAAATTACTTATAAGCAGATGCCGGGCAAAATTCCGGGGTCGGAAGTAGTTTGGTCCCCAGTACCGTTTTTGAGTGGCCGCGGCACTGAAGATCGGCTAAGCGGTTTCCCGCGAAATGTGGGGAGAAGTCGTTGGATGTTCCAACTTCTAGTGTAATTGCCAGTCTTTCGGTACTAACTAATGGCCTTGACCAGACATCTCTGACTGTTCTACAACATCGAGTAATCCTTACGACAGCCACTCACCTCCGAGCTGTCCAGGTGGACGTCGGGAGCTCATCGGATGCTTATGTCAGCCATTTCGGTTCGGCACTTTGGAACCGGAAGCCAAGCCGAGGACAATGAAGACATTCCCGAATTCCATATCTTTTAAATTCATTTAGGGACTCTGTGATAAAGTGGTTGACAGCCTCGGTGAGGGGCACGTGGATGATTTCCCTTGCTCATCCCTCTATGAACGCCATCTTTGCCAGGCAAGTAGCCTCCAGGTTGTTCTCCTTGGGCACGAGCCAAAACTTAACCTGAACGACCATCTCAACCATGGTGATGCCAGTTTCAGCCAGCTTGAACATATCAGAATTAGCAACTGGAACACCCTTGCAAGTCTTCCACCCGTTCTTCTTCCACTTGGGCAGCCACTCCGTCAAGCTGCGGACGAGGTACTCGGAGTCTGTTTTGATGACGAAGATCTTTAGCGGCATGAGGACCTTTCCCTTGCGCATCATCTTGCGGCGTTGCTCGATGATAGAGGTTGCATTTCGCAAGGCCCGTAGGCAGGCGGTCAACTCGGCGATCTGAGTTGTGTGGCTGTGGTCGTCCTTGCCTGGAATGGGCCAGGAGATATTACCATCGTTGCCGCGGCCGTAGAATACTCCGATTGCCGATCGCTTCTGAGACCTTTCGGTGAGACATTCTCCATGGATGGCGATGATCTGGGAGTCTTCGTGGCCTTGGTATTGGTTGCAGTCCAGGCATTTGCGGATCGAAGTGGGACATGCGAGACACATCCAAGAGCCGATGTCGATTTCAATTTCCTGCAAGGCGAAGCGGGCGGAATATTCGTTCTCGGTACGGAAGCGGCGGTCTGCAGGTGAGATCTCTCCAGTCCTCTCGGGAGAGCCAGCTACGTGGTGACGGCTGCCATTGACCCTTGTACCATGTGCAGTGGAGCTGTGCACGCAGCCCTCCATTCCCTGGCCATTAGTATCAGTATATAGAAGACGATCTTTGTACGGCGAGCATAGGTGATATAGGTCATGCCAGTGTGACCCCGAGGCCAGGATCAGTGCTTACCTGAGACAGATGATGGGCTTTCTCTTTCTGAGGTATCCGTGACTCTCGCAGCACGCGGGCCAATTCAGACACTTCAGATTCCTTGAGTCGTTTTTTTTTGGTATTAATGCGAACAGGAACAGCGGCTGCAGATGTGCAAGGCATCGTGGCTGAAAATGCTTTTTGAAGAGAGATGAAAAGTGTAGTCAGCAAGAGAGTAGAAGAAAAGGAAAAAGGTAAATAGAAGATGGACAGAAAGAGAAGGACAATCACAGTTAAAGCAGGTAGAACTTAAAAGCAAACTTGAAAGAGAACGTACCTGCTTCAACGCTTCATGTGGTGTGTGTCTACGAAGTCATTGGATGTTGTCCACTTACTACCAAACAAAAGAATGTAAACAAATCAAAACAAGAATCAAGGTACTATAGGCGCATTGCGAGCTAGGAACCCAAGTTGGCCCAACAGATCACTGCTGTGTTACTAGCGGGTTGGTGGTCAAAGGTTTTAAAGGACAGCTCGCTCAAGCATAGATGAAACGGATAGACCTACCGAGGGCCCATGACGAGGTCTAGAATTGGAGAGATCGAGGTGCATAGTGTAGTAGAGAGTGAAATTAGTATTTCAAGAAGCAAAGTTCAAAAGCACAGACTATGGAAATTGACCACGAGACCTTGAGCATCGTTCATGTCAATCACAGGCGTCAAGTCAAAGTCATTTCGTTCATAGAAGCCATCAGTCGGGCGACTCAAGAAAACACAATGTGGCTTATGTAGCCAGGGTCCTGGTGATAACATTGAGGGCAACTACGACGAAATCCTAGAATATAGCGAGGCTTCTTGCGAGGTCTTCCATCGGGCCGGCCGAAGTACTGAACTCGTGTGCGGGTTCGAGGAGGGAAGGATTGCAGGTTGAAACAGAACGAGCGAGGCGATCCAGAGGACTGTGAGTCCGAACTCCGTCATGGGACGGAAATCATACCAGGTCTGAATAACGATGGCGAAGCCATCCTCGTTGACTGGACCGACAGAGCGAATGTGTGGAAGTGGCCAGTTCACGTTTACGGCGTTCGACGCACCGTCCCTGGGGGGGGAAGGACGAGGGCTCAACTTGACTGTGGGATGGATGTTTCCCTGGTGGCCAGAGAAGAGGAATGGGCCTTGAAGGGGAGTGGCCTCGGAAGTTTCGTTGATGCTCAATGACTTGTTGATTAAGGCGTGAGGAATTGGCGAGGGCTGGTCAATTTGTTGGACCAGCAGGGGAGACAGATCATCGCCATTGGCCAATTTGGTGAGCGCGGTCTTAATTGATTCCTTGATATTCAGCGCCTGGCTGAACAATTTACCGGGGATTGGTGAGAGCTGGTTATTCTGGACCACAAATGGAGACAAATTGTCCCCATCGGCCAGATAGGTTGGCAGGCCGAGAGATTTAAGGTCCAAGGATGCAGGACGGCAACCTCTCTGTCTTCGATTAGAGGGTAGGATAGGTGTTCAAGGATGACTGACTTGCCTTTGCCCTTGAGTACTCCGGGCCCTTAAGGGCTCGCTTGGAGGTGCACATCATTGCCTGGTGCAGAATCTGATAGAGTTCCATGTAACAAAAATGCAAGGGAAGGAGGAGTATAGGGTATCTCCATTATGCATGTGGATATAGAGTCAAAGAGTAAGGCTTCACTCAGACTATTCTGAGAGAATCAATAGTCACCTAATTGAATCATTTATCCCATGTCATCAAGCAACATTGTATCTCATTCCTGTCCTATTGTATTCACTATTCTATTAATCATAACCCGATTGGATCCCCTCTATATGATACGTCAACACCCGCAGTTTGACCAATCATATAGTAAGAGAATGAAGGACCAGTGTGACAATAGAAATACATGATATGATATGCAAGTCGGAGAGAGAATAATTCTATCGGTGAAAAAGCAGTGGGACTTTGTGTATAACACAGCTACTGTAGGTCTGTGGTCAACCCCGGTGATTGGATCTCTCAGAATATGCACTCGACAGCCAAGACTATCTATTTTCCCCCGTACAGAGTACAGAGATGCAGTCAATATCAAAATGCAGTTTAGTTGTATGTTTAAAATCAATTGTACACCGGTAATAGTAAATTAGAACCCAAAAGTCCATAAATAGGATCCGCAATACAAAAAGCCTTCCCGCCAAATCTCTCGGCCCACTTTTTGCCTTCATTTTTGTCCCATTCCCCCCCCCCCTTCTCTCGGCCCAAATCTGTGAGTCATTTCTGCTGTTTTAACCTGGGATTTTAGTCCTGAAGAATCTTATTCCATTCTAATTTATGCTAATTACCACTAGCGTTCTGTGAAATATCATAATGCCTCTTATCAGCACTACTGAAGTCAACGAGGACTCTCGCGGTAGGTGGAATTGTGCTCAGAGCCAATTGCAATTGCGTCTGTGATACTGATGGTCTTTTGTTAATAGTCCTCGGATACGACCCATTGCTGTCGCCCAATTTCTTGCAGAATGAGATTCCCGCGGTGAGTCGAATTTTTTCTTCACCCCGCCCTTTGCGGGGGGACATGGCAAACCTTCCAAGCACAGCAACTGACAGCAATTGTCTCTTCAGCCCGCTCGTGCAATCGAGACAGTCCGTGCCGGCCGGAACCAAGCAATCGAGATCATCGAGCAGCGCGATGACCGCCTACTAGTCGTTGTTGGGCCATGCTCCATTCACGACCCCGACACCGCACTGGAGTACGCCCGCCGGCTCAAGGAGCTTTCCGTAAAACTGGAGAAGGACATCTGTGTGATCATGCGCGCCTACCTCGAGAAACCCCGTACAACAGTCGGCTGGAAGGGACTGATTAACGATCCCGACATCGACGAGACCTTCAACATCAACAAAGGTCTGCGCGTGTCCCGTAAGCTGTACACCGACCTGACTAGCACGGGACTCCCCATCGCCTCTGAGATGCTCGACACCATCTCCCCACAGTACCTGGCAGATCTGATCTCGCTAGGTGCGATCGGCGCCCGCACCACCGAGTCTCAACTTCACCGCGAGCTCGCCTCGGGCCTGTCCTTCCCCATCGGCTACAAGAACGGCACAGACGGTAATCTGACCGTCGCCGTGGACGCCATCGGCGCCGCTTCGCACCCCCACCGCTTCCTCGGCGTCACGAAGCAGGGTCTAGCTGCCATCACCAAGACCTCCGGCAACGAACACGGTTTCGTCATCCTGCGCGGTGGAAACAGAGGCACCAACTATGACCGCGCTAGCATTCAAACTGCCCGTGAGGTTCTCCGCTCCAAGAAGCAGCGTGAGGTCCTCATGGTCGACTGCTCGCACGGTAACTCCAACAAGAACCACCTCAACCAGCCCATTGTCGCCAAGGAGGTCTCCGACCAGCTCCGTGAAGGTCAGACTGCTATCATTGGTGTCATGATCGAGTCCAACATCTACGAGGGTAACCAGAAGGTTCCCCCCGAGGGACCGGAGGCTCTTCTCCGCGGTGTCAGCATCACAGATGCTTGCATCAACTGGGAGATGACGGTTGATGTGCTTGAGGATCTCGCAGACGGTGTTCGAGCTCGTCGTACTGCCCGGAAGACGCAGCAATAGAGAAATTCTCGTTTTTCTCTAGATGATGCACTTCTTGTCTCTGATTTTCGCGGCCCTTCTTCCGTGGAGGGGAGGGAGAACGGGTCTGGCATAGATAGATATCTCGTTTCGGTGCCTGTTTGTTTCTTTTTCTCGATTTTTCAGCGGTTTTCCTTTGTCGCTTTTTTTTTCCTGCTTGTTCCTTGGGAAGCCCCCGTGGAATTCATGTGTGAATTTGTAGTTGGTGCCAAAAATCATTTAAGAGCGTTTTGTGTTTCGCTGGGACTGTTGAGGATATTATTAGTATGAGTGGCCCAAAGTTTATAAGAATATGATCATAGGCTGAATCTGCTTTCTGTGTTTTCAAATTATTCCAGGGTCTACCCTCTGCTTATAAGAATCCCCTTGTTTTTTCTCAGCTCCACTATACGCGGACCTTGTGTGGTTCCTGAGCCCGCGGCAAAGCGCTTCTCCGGTGTTGGGAATGGGTCCCTCCCTCTTTGGGGATTAGTGCGCAAACTTGGGTTAGAACAGTCTGTTATAGGTGAAAATCAGTGTTAAGAAGTGAGCTACTAGGAAGTAGGGATAGCAGGTGGTACCTACGTGTAGTATATGCACCATAGTAGGTTACATTATCGGGATCTGAAGATGGACACGGAGTAGAAATGAGAGCAGATAGAAGCAGATCTATGTACTGTACATGATATACATTGAAGGCCACCCGTCAACTCTCTTCAGAGTGTGAGGGAAACCATACTGACTAGGAACACATTCCAGAAAGATAAAAGAAGAAAACGCCGTGAACCCCCTAGGGAAATGGAAGCAGGCCACGGGAAAAGATCGCGGCTTGCCATGCAAGAGAAAAAAGTATTGCAAATGGCGAGAAGTGAAGATCGGAGCAGAAGATATCCGCTGGCAGATGATGAAACAAATCAGCATTGCATTTGAGGATAGGTGTATGGCACTGTGCCAATCAGCCCATCCAATCCGTCCTTCTTTCTTTTTTTTGCTGGGAGGACTAAAGATCACACCCATCTATCGCCCCGTCAACCAGCTGGTCCAGCTAGATGTCTTGGTCTTTGCAGCTTGTTCGACATTCTCAGCCAGCACATCCAACTGACCGGGCAACGGAGCACCGGTTTTCGCCGCAGCAGCATTTAGAGCTTGCTTAGCCTGGACGGCCTCCATCACGCTGCCTTGGGTATTGTCGACACTGTCGATAGCCAAGCCTGATGCGGATGCAGGTGCAGCATTGGCACTGCTCTCTTCCATGTTCAGCTTCTCGAAGAGGAATCGCTTTGCCTTGGCCCAGGGCTTCTGTGCCTTCTCCTCCTCGCGCTTCTGTTTCATAATTTCACCGATCTTCTCCTTCTTCAGGAGCTCCTGTTGCTCGATAGTAGCAGTACCGTTAGCGTAGGCGATCTCGGCATCCTTAAGAGTCGCGAGTTCCTTTTCGATCCAAAGAGTGCGTTGACGACGGTTATAGAGGGTGAGCGAGATCATCGAGTAGACTGTGAGAACACCGCAGACACCTAGTATAACCCAAAAGGATTAGCACAGTTCCAATAGGGGTGAATTTGGGGGGCCCGTTGATAGTCATTGTTGACTTGGACTTCGAAGCATCGTGTGTTGTGTTGCTAGTGTTTTGCTCATCTTGTATCACGGGGCAGGAAACGTACCGGACGCAGCAATCAAAGAATAAACCATTCCCTTATGCGCTTTATTGGCAAATTTCCGCCCAGACTCAATCCATCGATCCGCTCCGCTTCCAGCTGCCTGTGTCTTCCGAGCAGCCCGTGCCTGTGCTCGCAGTCGTTCCACCTTTTCCTTGGGTGTTTCCGGTTTGCCATTTGGGCCAAGCTGTTGTGGTGATGACTTCGTGCTGGACTTCTTCTTCCCAAAGTCTGGGGCCTGGTACGCGCCGCCAGTCTTGGAGTTGGCGTAGGGCCCGGTGGCCGTGAACCGCGTTGCGTCTGCGGCGGATCGGGACATGTTGGGAGTTCCCGGTTTCGAAGGGCAGACCTCAATGTTGGAATTGAAAATCAAATAAATTGTCGGAAATTAGCTTGAGGCAATTAGAGGGGCGTGGTGGGGTGATGAAGCTGGAGACAGTTGATAGACCGGGGATTTGCAGGTTGAAGGTAAATTTTCAGCACGGGTGATGCGCCAAGACATTCAAACAGCTTCAATTGAAATAACTTCAATCTTCTTTTAGTTCTTTCTGTCTTCTAAGGTCATTTTCTGGTGATCTCTAATTCATGTGTTATCAGTAAAATAAACTACTTATTCTCTCTGCAAATATTGACTTGTCTCTCTAAACACACCCTTCTCTATCCTTTCTCTGCACCCATATCCTCTATCGACCGCGTCTGGAACACTTGACATCTACACCCATCTGTATTCACCCTTTTCAATCTTTATTTATCAATCAGTCTACCGAATCTGATATGTTGGTTAGAAATTTGAAATAGCGGGCATTTTTTCCAAGGTTCCCCCAGGAGGTTCTACTACTATTCCGACATGGAAGACGGCTTCTACAATGCTTCGGACCTGAACTCAGTCCTCAGCACACTATCTAGTCTAGCTTCACAGGGCCAGAGAAGCTCTAACCAGCATATAAATACACCAAACAGTCTGCCAAAAATTACTTCATCTCAATCCAAGCCCTCACAGGATCCACGACCGCCGCAGCTAAGGATAACGAGACCGTCCACCACTTCTACTTCTGCATCTGACTCCTCAACAATTACCACTTGGCCTGCAGCACTAAAATATGTGATGCGCACCGTGGGTCAAAATGAAGAGACTCAAGCGCGCATTCGCGGTCTGATCCGAAGTCAACACCGTCATGAACAGCAATGGTTCCAAGCTCGCGAGGCATTATTGAAGCAGCAACAGGGTCGCCCTGAGAAACAGAGGGAGCTAGACGCAGTACTGTGGGTTTCTCTCTATACTACTTCTCAGTAGTGTTGTTCTATTGACTGATGACTAACGCAAAAAAGGAGGGCAATCGGTGCCCCCGTAAAAGAGGAGGTTGGCACGGTATGTTCTTAATGCCTCTTTTATTTATTCGCTTTGACTAATTGCCAAATAGACCGAAAAGGAGTTAGCCGCAGAGATCGCAACCTACGACGGAAAGGTTCATAGGGCAGCCGTGCAAATGGGAGATGCTATTATTGCCGAATTGCGCAGTCTGTGTATTCCATTCTTCACGCTTCGGAAGGACTTGATTCAAGATGCGCCACCCATCATAGAGGACTCACAGCTACGGAGCCAGACCGAGTTAACTGGAACCCCCTCATCGCCAATATCCAAGTCTGAGCTTGTGAAGTTGCAGCAACGCATGTTGGAATTACTTGAGGACCTGTGTAAATAGCGAAAATAGATCTCAGCATCTGCGATCTATTTTCGCCACTCAAAGTGAAATTTCGGACTGATATACTTGGGCTATCATTAATTCATTCTCGAAAAATTCTGTTCTCTAGCCGCACTCTATTTTCAAACAGCATTCTTTGCCTCTTTGGGTAGCATCATGTGATTCCATATCAGTGGTCTGACTTCGAATACTTCAATTGGAATGGAGGGTCTACATAGTTAGTACATGTTTTCAGGACTGCAACACGTTAATTTTGAACGTTGAATGACTGAATTTGCCCGGTTACTTGTTCAAATTCCGAACTCGACCAAGTGTGGCTTCCGATTTCGATCTCTAAACTTGTCTCTGTCGCTCTTTGATACCGTTCCCAAGACCGAACGCATACCTGCCCTCATCCAGCACCAGTTTATCCCCTACCCAGTGAGCAGCTTCCCGCTTTGGAACTAAAACATTAGTAGTGATGCCTTCGGCATGAGCAGTGGCGTTTTTCTTTTCAAAGCCGACGAGGAGAGCCTGCTTTGTTGAGGCTGTTGGCCAGTTGTAAATTTGTACAAGTTCCTGGCCATCGACCGCACCTATGTTCTTAACCTGCACCACGACTGACCAGTATATCCCTATACCGTGAACACTGGTGAGACTACTCGAGTACAGAGTGAACTCAGGCCATAACCAAACCAGCAAGAGACAGCACATCTGGGTGGTGATTACATCATCTGTGGCCGACTTGGGTAACTAACTAACCTTGAGAGCTGTGGCAAGTGCTTCTGCATTTGTCCATCTATCCAATAAATTTGAGCTTTAGGTGAACATTTCCAACACCGTGAAGCAACACTCACACTAACTTGCAACGAATTTTCTTCGACCTGGCATTTGTCGGAATGCTTCGGCCGACCGCCCTTCAAACGCCGATAGCCCCGGGGATTGAAACGTCAACCCTTCACTCTATCATTTCTTAGCATGACCCCGACACGATCAACCAAAAGCGGTCTAGCCTCACTGGCTTGTACCGAGTGCAGAAAGCAACATCTCAAATGTGATGCCAGCAAACCATCATGTTCGCGATGTGTTCAAAATGGGTTACTCTGTCAATACCTACCCTCTCGACGGGGCGGACGCAGGAAATCACGACTTGAGACTCCATATCAACGCCATCCGCAAACCCATCTCAATGTTAGTACTCCTTTCTCTTCGTCATCGTTCTTTATTAAATTAGTCCTAGACCCGATATCAATCTACGGACCCTGTTCTGCCAATAGCTCCTGCACAGGCTACACCAGAGAATCCTTCGGTGCAGGCAGGCACGCAGACAGGACTTGATATTCCCACTGGGCCAGTCTCTTGGCCAGTGATGCTCTCGGGAAATGCTCCTGTTCAGCAAACTGTGGAACCAGCAAGCGAACTGTCGCTCTATGACGAGCGCTTGCCTCGCTTGTACTATGAAAATTTCCACGTCGCCCATCCGATCTTGGTGCCCAGCTCCTTGTATCACGACCAAAATTACCCTCAGTTCTTACAGCTAGTTGTACATTTTGTGGGGTCCCATCACATTGCCTCTGTTTCAAGCCAGCCGTATAAGGACCAAGTCGTTGCTGAGCTGAAGACAAATTCTGATCGATCGGCTTCCATGGTTCAGGCTTGGCTACTATATTCCATTGCGCTGTACGCCCGCGATGAATGGACTGAGGCCCAAGATGCCCTCTCTCGTAGCATTGATATTGCTTTGGAGCTTGGCATGAACCGTTGGTCTTTCGCTTCATCCACCAACCCCGAAAGATCTCTTGAAGCCGAAAGCATGAGACGAACATGGTGGGAACTGTATGTCACCGACATCTTCATGGCAGTCCCGCTTAAGACCACCACATTTCGATGTAGCACCGTGTCACCGGAGGTGGCCTTGCCCTGCGAAGAGTCAACTTATAATTGTGCGGGTGATATCTCGAAACCACGTATGATGATCGAGTTTAAGCGGAGGATACTCGCGGCAGAGGATACTGTTTTTTCATCCTTCAGCTACCGCATCGAGGCTACGACCATCTTATGCCGGGTTCTTGTCTTGAATCGACTACGTGATTGTCACCGCGATCATCTCCAAGCTGTCGAAAATGCACTAGTGAGCTGGATCAACCACCTACCGTCCAAAAAGCTCGACATTGTTGATTCATACGGCAATGTTGACGAGATGATGTTTCAAGCGCATTTGACAATAGCCTATGCCGCCATGCTCCTACACTTACCCCGAAGCGACCTTCCATCTGTGTTGTCCCAGTCCCAACCAGATGATCGCTTCTGGCCTGGTCTGACTGGCCAGCTCTCATCAACCTTCACCCGTCTAGTCCACAGCATAAAAGCAACCGAGGCTTCAAGGCGTATCTCAGACTCCATATCTGTTTGTCCAAATGTGTCGAAGCACACTCCCTTCATCGTCCCCGCCTTGACCCTCTGCGGACTCATCCAGCTCGCCACGTCCACTAGTCATTCCGAGGAGTGTTTCGACCATCACTGCAACCGTGTCACACTCATTCTAGGATGCCTCAAGAGCACCCAGCGGACATGGAAACTGGCCGAGTCCCTATACCATGCTCTTCGGTCTTCTGCAGCAGAAGTTCTGTCGGATTCGATGGAAAAATGGAATGCCGAACCACTACAGCGATTCACCTCGGCAGCCACAATGCCTAACGACCAAGAAGGACATAGCTCCAATGCCAATCCCGCCCCAGTCATGCCAGACGGCCATGATTTGCCGCCGGAATTTTCCCCGCAATTTATCGACCCAACTTGCTACAACGCTTCGTTTTTCAGTGCTATTCCTGACTTTGATATGCATTAGAACGGTTATACCCGGGAGCCAGTGTAGCATTCAATATGTTGCAGAGAAAAAACAAACAACTCACTAAGTTAGATGTCATATTTACCTAACGATTTCTGGTGTAAACATCAGCCAGCTTCTTTGTGCAGTGTGAACTAGGCCTTGGGCCATAATTAAGTCTATGCTGATGCTAACGATACGTAATAATGATAGGGGTCCGAGCATGAATTCTTGGAAGGTGTCGCAGATGACCAAACGCCGATTGGATTTATTTCGAGTCGCCGATGGTGCCGTCGACCCAATATTTGATTGGCCTGTTATACTCACCGGGTGTTTCATCCTGCCACGCGTGCATAGCACCGATCTCTTGTGCTACAAGGGACATTTCTTGTGAAGATAAATATACGTCTCTCTGAGAATTATCATTGCTGCGAATGGTAGCCATCCAATGTATTACACATTCTGTCCGATGTTCTACCAGGAAGCACAGTAACAAAGTTCGATACTACGGAATACAATCCTTTGCGCTTCTCAATCAATCATACATCGGAAAATAAGGCCAGAATATCCACCGGCTATTTCTTTGTTGGGTCTATTTTGATCGAACATCTTGTGATAACCGTGATAGCCATATGCCTATCTAAATTCGTGGTTCATGACATAGGAATGCTTCTCGCTTAACTTGTTCACCGATGCATTGACCTGCAAAGCCACATTAGTACACAGTCACACTGGACTAGTAACCCTTGCGTCATGAATTATACGAGAGCCTAAGGGTATCAGGTGGTTGAACCGCAGCTGCTTTTCTTATGCGTTGGATGTTCTCGTAGCGGCGTCATGTGTGTTGATTTTCTCCTCTCTATAGGCTTTCGGATTGAAATTTAAAACCCCGGAAGAGATTAAAGAAATTGAAATTTGTTTACACCTAGGAACCTGAGTCTAAGAAATGTGAGCTATGTCTAGGTTGTTTCAAGGCTTATTCAATAGCGGAACATACATGGTTTTGACGGGAGTAGAGCTGATTTTCCGGAATGCAGATTTTCGCTTTCCGGATACCTTCTCCCTTTTTATTTTATATAGATTATTCTTACTGGCAAAGAAATAAATGTTCAGGCCTCTGGGTAATATCAGGTGAGACTGTAATCGGTCTGGGGTGCTGGAGAGCAGGGCATTGGATCAATCGGCGATTGAGATCATATTTTTGTGATTCAGCTCGCACGGGGAAGAATCCAGGGGGAAATAGATGCGAATTGATTCCGGAGATATAACTCATCCGTGGATCCCGTTTATAACTTCTCCTAGCTTTCTAAGAATACACACTCCTCCAACATCACTATAACTTCAATCCGCCATGCCTGCTGTCATCCCCTTGCTCCCTCTTGGCACTAGCCGATCACTAGGCAACAAGCACTACACCCCCCAGTACAGCTTAGATGATCTCGTACAAGACATCAAGGCCTACCTAGGCGAGAGTGGTGGCATTTCTTCGGCAGATGTGGATAACGAATACCTGATCTCGCTGGCGCAGAAGTACATCTCTGATCCGAACGACTGGGCCCGCTTTTACTACAACGACACCAGCAAGAATTACACTCGCAATGCTATCGAAAACATTAACCAAAAAGCAAACATTGTGAGTTTTCATTCTTATGCCGGCTAGATCCTGTCAAAAGAGGATCCCGAGACTTGGATACTAACCCATCCCAGCTCCTGCTCGTGTGGAACCCCGGGAAAGGCTCCCCCATCCACGACCATGCCAATGCACACTGCATCATGAAGGTCCTGGCTGGCACGCTACAAGAAACTATTTACAACGTCCCCAATCAGGACTCTGATCTTCATGGTCCGTTGGAAATCAAGTCTGACACGAGGCACTCCATGAATGCCGTCGCCTATATCTCGGACGATATTGGGCTGCATCGCGTTCACAACCCGAGTAGTGACCAAGTTGCTGTCTCTCTGCACTGTAAGTTTTGGATGCAATCTTTTGAAACAGTAATTGAATACTGATGAGTAGTTCCAGTATATACCCCGCCTAATGCCGCCGACTATGGGTATAACATTTACAACGAAATGACAGGCAAAGCGAGCTTTGTCCAACAGGCTCAAGCTGTTTCTCAGAAAGAATGAGACTTTCAGAGATGAGACTACGGACCAGATTATAATTTGCTGCCATCTACTTCCTTCTATTTTGTATGCGCCGTTAGCCTGTCAAACCAGATATGATGAATGATGTTCCATTTCGCTCGGTGCTGGCGCCGGCGAGGTGATTTTCTGATTGACTCAAGATCATTAGAAGTCATTCGATACATTTCTAATGAAGGTGATGGAAATCCCAACAAGCTAGCCAAGTTATTGCGAGTTGATTTGAATGGGGTCGTTTCATCTGGACGATCCCATGTGTAGCCCCAACTTCCCACGTCCGGAAGAGGCCAACCTCCACTCCGCCTGTTTTGGAGCATTCAAGTGTGGATCAGATGAGACTCTCAGGTCTATAGCATGAAGCATGAATTCTCTCATGCCGGTGGTCGATGCACATCCGCGATGTTCCCGGGGTTTTTGCCGGGTTCGGAAGGAACTCGGCTTTCGAGTTCAGGTCAGTAGAGTAAATTATTTTAACCTGGTTGATGTAGGCCTAATTCAAGTGTTCAAGAATTGGATTCTCGCCATGTTCATGTTCAGACTTCGACTGCCTCAGTCCATGACAGCAAAATCGGCTACGGCCGTCACTTTACTACGCGTTGGAGCTTGTGACAGAAATCTGACTATATGAAATGTGTCAGAATACCAGGTGCAATGTATAGTGGAAACCATTTATGACCTCAGTAGGCTCGGCTATCCCACAACAAAAGTACAAAGATCAGTCATTTAGATCCCACATAGATTGTATAATAGGGATTTTAATTATTTTTTGTTAGTTGGAGAATTTGATACCTATCGTTTTAACCGATGTATTTTATTAGTTAGATTTCTATTAGTTATAAGCATAGAATCGTTCAACTAAAGAAACAATATTACTATCGCCGAAGAGAGGTGTCACGGTGCGAACCGTGATGCTTAGTTAGAGGAAGATCACGGCACGTGATCTCCGAATTGTTTATCTGAACTTCAGTTCTAGATCCTGTTGTAGCTCTTCGAGCTACGTCTTACCCTTGCGGAGCGCGAAGATCCAGGCGCTCCACGAGATACCTGTAAAGTCCCGTCCGAGGAACCTGCGTGCACGACCAACTGGTCTCGAGAAACGAGACATAGCAGCCGTATCGCTAGCTGTGTGTGCTGCGTATGCAAGAAAGAAATACAGCATGTTCGCAATTACAACCGCGGACATCGAGACTG